AAGAAATCTGCCAGGATATTTTTCCACACCTCCAAAGTTCAGTTTTAGAAGTTGGGTACATTTTCTGCTTCTCACCATCCAAGTAATCCCAAACACATTCAGTGATGTTGAGGCCTGGACTCTCTGTGGGAGAGATCACCAGCAGCTTCTTTTATTGGATAAGTACGTCTTGATGTTTGCAGCAGTGTGCTTAGGTACATTTTCTTGCTGTGGAATGAATTCCTTCCCAGTCAAATGTTTTCTAGAGATTACTACATGATTTATTAAATTTGCATACTTATCAGCATTCTTGGTGCCTTCCATCAATAACAAAACTCCAGATGTTGTTATACATCCCTGAACTTGCACTGATTCTCCTCCATGCTTGACAGATGTCTGCAGACATGATAGTCTTTCATTGCTTCAGTGGCCTAAATACTACCTTCTGTTACTTCCAGAGATCTCAAATATAGATTCATCAGTCCAGAGATGGATATGTTTCCTTCTTTTTTCTGATGCTGAACTTGTACTTCATGGCTGTTTTGACTGAATAAATGAAAGAATGGTCTCTGACTTTTGCACAGTGCTACACTTTTGTACTTTTGAATAATTACTGTTCAGTAATTCTTATCTTTCATTTGGCAGTGTGCTTTGATTCTATATTTGACAGTGAAACTGGAGAACTTCCTCTTTCTCATGGATAAGAGCAGGTAGGATCTATATTTAGTTTGAGCGGAAGAGAATTGTTTTGTTGTGTGTGTGTGTGTGTGTGTGTGTGTGTGCGTGTGTGTGTGAGTGTGTGTGTGTGTGAGTGTGTGTGTGACTATGTGCGTGTGTGTGTGTGTGCGTGTGTGTGAGTATGTGTGTGTGAGTTCGTGTGTGACTATGTGCGTGTGTGTTTTAAAGCAGAAGAAGTGCATATTCTCCACATGGATACAGTCATGTCCTGGGTTTTATTTCCTGAAGCAAATGCTTCAAAAAAGGATGAGTGCACTTGGCTGACTGTACGCATAGATGGAGAGTGAGGAGGAGGAAGACTAATTCGTCTATTTTAAAGATATTTGAAGGCGCTATTTGTGTTACATCTAGCCATGATGTAAAAAATATTTTTAGAGAATATTCTGTCTGTCTATCTATCTATCTATCTATCTATCTATCTATCTGTCTGTCTATCTTTACACTAGCATTCAAAGCTTCAGAATACAGTTCAAAAGTTTGGGATCACTGTTGTAAATAAATGAATAAATGTATAAAATGAATTTTACATTTTCATTTTTTTGAGATGTGTCCAAACCGTAGAAGATTATGTAATAACTGAGAAAGCTGTAAAACATTGAGAATGAAGTTATTATAAAATTAACGTACAGAATGCTTTATTTAGAAAAGGGTGAGCAAATCTTGATGCTGATGACTTATCAGGAAATTACTATAACCAAATATCTACAGTCAGTATGTATATATAAATAAAATAAAAACTTCTTGAAATGCCTTCTTTTATTTCAGTCACTACTGTTTAAGTTAAACTTGAATATAACACCCATCATATGACAAATGATTCCAAACTTTTCTATGGTAGTGTGTGTACGTATCACTGTGTCACTGTATGTCATAGACAGTGCAGTGCAAGAGCATCTGCCAAATGTTTTAAATGTACAGAGAAAGTGTACCATATATATATATATATATATATATTGTACTGAATTTACTGTGTACATATTTCGCTGCTGTCAGAACAAAACCTTGTATCTCAATTTTTCAGTTTTTGAACTGAAAAATTATATATATATATATGTATATATATATATATATATATATATATGTATATATTTCACACAAATGACTCCTACAGCTGTTTAGTTTGAATCTGATCATTTCTCCTGCTTTCTCCTTGGTCAATAGTACACTCCAAACCTTGACACAAGATGAAAAAGAAAATACATTTTGATGCACTTTCAGAGAAAAACAAAAAACATGCACTTCAATCTGTCCACCTTGTCCATGAATAAATAACTAGATCCAACCTCAAAATGTCAAGTTACAGAAGAAAGACAGGTTTACATCACTGAACCAGCTGCGTCTGAAAGAAAATCAAAATGTTTGTCCACCAGAAAGAAATGTTTTATGACTCAGGACATGAGTCAGAATTTCTAACAAACCTGCATTTCTCTGCATTACGTCTGTCTGGCTCTGACAGATAGAGTGAAAGCCTACTGTTGACATGAGTCTCCACTGCTTACCTACTTTTAATGATGTTCTCATTCATAGTTTAAGGGAGATTTGATTTTAGCAGAGGCCTAACTGAGCAGCAAATCACCATTGAGTCTGCAGGACATTGTCAGGCCACAATCAGCACTGACGTCAGTCTCGCACAGACAGTAATCAAATAACAGGTCAACAGTCCTCTCAAAAGAGTAATAAATAAGTAAATGCAGAAAAAAACAATTTAGAATTCTTTTCATCTTTTTATCTTTCTCAACATGAAAGCACAAATTGTTTTTGCTTGGTTTTGTTTTGTACTTATTTAGCAGACCTGTAGAGCTTTCAGATACCAGTAGTAATAACTTGAGTTGAAACATTTTGCTCAGTGGAACAAAGACAGTAGCAGGATGTTATTCATCACAAGCCAAACCCATGACCATGCTATCTGACACAGTGTCTATAGCGATGTTTCCTAACTATAGGGCTATAAACATTAAATATACACAATAAATATGATATATGCCACATAATACCATCACGATCAAACAGTTGGGAAAACACAAGCAGCACTCTCATAAACAATCAACAGCTCTGCTACCGATGTATGGATAAACCAACTGGTCAGCAGAATAGACCAGACATAGCTTTTCCATATGGTGAGTGACAGACAGTGAGAATAACAAACCCACTAACTTGATGCTGATCATGGTTGATATGTATTATACTGCCACCATGTGGATGGTAAATCTAAAGTCATGAGGATTTTAAAGCTCTCATATCATGGAAAACTGACTTTTCCCACTTTTATTTTAAAGAGTTTAATACAGTATATAAACATAGTTTCAAACATTTCTCAAACATGTGTTGTGCTCAAGTCGAGTTTATATAATATATTCAGATTCTTACAACCCACCTTCCTGCCCACCCCCCACTTTCATTACCTTTAAACAATTTTTAATTTGGCACGCTGTAGTCACCCACTTGTATTGTTGACACATTTTAGCACTAAAGTCCATGAGGCCTAAGCTTGCGGGACAATTATTTGATTTCTCACAATTGTTTACTGTTATTATTTCTGATTAGTTTTTATATTTTTTTTTTGTCTTTTACCCCTGATAGCTAATATTGACGCTACATGGTAATTTAACTAGTGGTATCACTGAAAACATCAGGTTTTATTCTGCACTTTGGTGATGATGGACCATTTTGAGTCAGTTTCGAACATATTTTCTTGAGCTTGGGTCAGTTTTGAACTCTAAATTTCATGATGTGGTTCGAGTTGGGTCAGGTTTGGATAAAACTTTGTTAGGCTTGGCCCAGGTTCAGATTCAAAACGTGGTGCTGTGGGTTCTCCTTGGACTGTAAGTTATCAAGCTGTATTCAAGTGCAGGCCAAAAATCTCAGGCTCGATTAAAGCTCATATCCATATATGGAAACTAAGCTGCAAAGACAAAAGACCTGTTTACACATTTACATATAACTGCCTTTTCAATCTACAGCTGTTTAGCTCCTCTCATCACCCACTCGTGTTGAAGTTATAAGAAGTGTTTCAGCCTGGGCTACTTTTTTTACGGCACAATACATGGCAGCCAATCGAAACAGAGGTAATGTATATATACCAGTCTTAAAGGCAGTCGGTTTAGGATAAAAAGACAGGGTGAAAATGTGTCCTGTAAAAATGAATTATATCTGATTTTGAAAAAAAAAAGAAAATTGTAGGATATGGCTCCAGATGTCATAAGTAATACCCTTTTCTTAGGTTTGTTGTGGTGACAGGACTCTATTTTCTCACAGGGGTTTAATTTTTCATTTATTTACATTATTTTACTGTGATATTAAGTTCACAAAAAGTGGATGTAAGAAGAACTTTTGTATGATTGCAGACTATTTACTGTAGTCTACAATCAGTAGAATCGCTGCATCTCATACTACTTGTCTGATACAGAGCTCTCCCGAATTGTTGGACATAAAGACAAGCCTGGGTAAAGACGGCTTGATCTTATACTGAAAATATGAGAGAAGTCTAATCTATCAGTGAAGTTTAATTATTCAAAGAAAAATCTACAAAAAAAATCAATGCATCGATAATTTGATATGCATCGATAAGGCACTAGATTATAAAATAAACAGTGGGTCTGAGACCCATGTACATTGTATTGTACATTAGAAAAAATAAGATGCATTAGATGCACTGTGCATGTAGATATGAACACAAGGATGGGTCACGCATGTAGGCTGTGTTGTATACTAATGCATGCACAATGATTATACACAGTGATCCCAGACAGCAGACAGTTTTGGGCCGATTCTGGATTTCCTATGTGAGTGGTGGCTGAGTACTGGGCAGATGTTAGGCATGCGGGCCAGAATAGGGCCAGATGCCGGACAGCTTCATATGATTTTGCCTTGTGTCTACATTTGTGGGCCAATTCTGGTGTGAATTTTGTGGACCGTCAATGTATTTGGGCCACATCCATAAGTTCTACTCACTTTAGAATTTGTGGGCCTGATCTGTGCTGCAGACCCAGCCATGAACAGGGCCAAAACAAACCCAAGTATGCCAAGTACGTGGCCCACAAGTGGGCCAGACAAATTTTACTACCTGGGATGTTCTATGACTCTGCAGAACCGTGATTTGTTGAATGGAGAGTTAAAAATGCTTATACGCTGTTCTTAAGGTTTAAAGAAAGATTTTTTAAAGAGAGACATTTTGAAAAGTCTGCAGTTTGGTTAATAAACTCGACGTTGAACCCCCGACTGGGCCTCCTATTGGCTGACTGAGTCCATCCGGGTACTGGACACTAACTGGCCTATGAGGCAAAAGGTACCAATATGGCGGAGGTAAGAGGGGAAACCTGGGGAGAAGTGTCAGATATTAAATCGGTCTATTAACGATTTGGAAGCGATGCATTTTCCTTTTGTTTGAATATATATTTAAAGTACAGTCTGTTCATCGTATCATGCTGGTTTTTGTAGAAATCCTGCCGAGCCTGGCGCTGTGTGATGCGTTTTTTTCGAGCGCTCTATCAGAGTCCGATAGGCCTTTTCGCTATCGGATCCCGTTAGCTAATGCTAACGCTAACGCTATTCTATCGCCTCGGTACCGCTGGAAGAAAAATACCCAGCCAGTGTTTTAGTTAAAATTACTCGTCAGCAAAAATGTATTTAAGCTTTTTTTAACCACGCCAAAAAGCTTTTATTGTGTTAACGAATGATTTAGACGCGATGAATGTCTTGAAATGGTGAAATTAGAGCGGTCCTCCTCGGTGCACTGGCTAAAGGTTTGTTTATGTGTGTTTTTGCCGAGCTGGGTTCACAGGAGAAGCGGGTTGCGCCAGCCAGGAGCCCGCTTTGCTCCGAGTATTGGCTAATGACAGACTTTTTTCTTAATAGATATACAGTTTAAACTACAAACGTGATTCATCTTAGCTATTTTGTTGTTAGAGTCGTTATATTAAATGGCACTAAAACGGTTTCGTAACTTAACTGATCCTTTCACGATTCATTTTGGGGGCCTGTTTGACTTTTCGAAACAACGCTATGGGTAAACTGCATTAGGTACTACTGTCTTGCATTTTCTGCACACTGCACTATCGTTTGCAGAGTTTATGAGGGCCAGTTAAACATTTTTGTCGTTTTGTGCACTTACATTTTAATCTGTATTTACTGTTCTGTTTTTCTGTTTTTCTCTCCCATTGTACATCCTTTTACGTGCATATTGTTTGTGTAATGTCTATTTTTTGCTTATATAGTACATCTTTTTCTATGTTTATTTTATTGCACTTAACTTAGTGTTTGCACTTCCAACCAGAGAAATTCCTTGTATGCCTGGTACTTGATTCTGTTTCTGATGTACCATTTGCTTGTGGTGCACCATGTTAATGTTTCCACTCATGTGTTTTTTAGGCTTCCCTGGGGAGTTCGAGCCCTGGTATGTTTTGTGTCTTTTATTCATAAGTGTTTTTTCCCAGTGTTAGTAACTGTATGTGTCTGTTTGGTGCATACGACAAAGAATGTTTGTTGTGTGCTTGCACAGTTGGCTCTCTGTCGTCAGAAGATCATGACTTTGACCCAACGGCAGAGATGCTAGTTCATGAGTATGACGATGAAAGGACGTTAGAAGAAGAGGAGTCGCTGGAAGGAGAAAAGAACTTCAGCACTGAGTTAGCAGATCTGGAGAAGGTAAACTTGTATTATATGTTTGTCTAACTAAATGTGTCTGCCACTTGTTCTAACAACCCAAATTGTTGCAATAACACTAAAAACATGATTTTTCTCAATCTTTTAAAGGGAATTCCATCATTTTCCTGTATTTAAGTACAAGTAAATTGTTAAGGTGTAAATCAGTGCAGCTTGATGTAAGATGAACCATTCTAGAGAAAGGGTCAGACTTATTCACAGCAGTGAAGATGGAAAGCAGATGTCTGAGGTGTTCAATGCCTCTATAATTACATTGTCTTATGCCTAAGACATTATTTTTATACTAGTTCTGTGAAAAGCTTTTAGCCAGAAACATATTTTTAAAAATTTTAGATTTACCACTTACCATTACTAACGTGTAGAAACTCACATGATCTGAATAGCAAATCACAAGTTATATTTGCATTGTAGACATCACAAACCTAAAAGTTGGTAACTTTCTCTGCATTGCACCATTTCAAATCTAACTTTGACGACTGAAAGACTATGTCTACATGTCAGCGATTGAATTATACATACATTTTGAAAATCACTGCAATTCCCTTTTTAAAGTCATGGTTGAATTCACAAGTTAACCATGATGTCTGTTTGTATGTACTTCAAGGAAAGAAATATGCCCCTGGAGGAACTGTTGGCCATCTATCGGTATGAGGCATCGGTCAGTACAGCTGCAGGGTCAAGTTTGGACAGCTCTTCCGGTGAACTGGCTGATGACCTGCCTGATATGACCCTGGATAAGGTGTGATGTTATATTATACATATATATTATATATTCTATATATTGAAGTGTTTATTAGTGTGTGCAGTAAATCTGTGAGCCAGCACACAAAACCTTAAGTGTCAGCAGAGACACTGTTTTTGTTTCATGTAATTGTAACATGAGTGAAACTAAATCAGCAGAAGAAAGCTTTGGTCGTTCTTTTATTTTTTTTATTGTAAAGCCTGGAAATTGATTGATTTTACTTGTGTAATTGAGTATTGTGCTTCCTTTCTGCAGGAAGAAATAGCCAAAGATTTGCTGTCAGGTGACTATGAGGAAGAGACACAGTCGTCAGCTGATGATCTAACCCCTTCTGTGACCTCCCATGAAGCCACTGACTTCTTCCCAAGAACCCTCAGATGTGAGTCTGCTAAAAGCTGAAGCAGTGCTTTGGAAAATATAATGACATTTTTTGCTCATTGTGATCCAGTGCAGAGTCACACAGATATGGCTCGTGGTTTTCAGCAGAATAGTTAACACAGTGAATGTTGAAAGTGAAACCAAGTAATAAGACAACACTGATTTAGTTGCATCCGTTTTGACATACTGGTGTTTCACAATTTGTCATATTTATTGGTCAAATAGTATCTTGTAGGGGAATCTACCCAGAATACTTTGCACAGTTGGTTTTTTGTTTTGTCAGTTGGTTTTTGTATTATGTGTTATTCTCCTGCTGGTTTAGATTTGGTTGCATTTTTATATCTTTCTGTAATACCATGATTTGGGATGCATCGTACTTATAAAAATGGACCGATACCAGCATCCAATACCATCTAATATCATGTGACATATGCCTAGTGTACACTGCCACACAAACTACTCAAGCCAGCAGTGTACACTGCCACGCAAACTACTCAAGCCAGCAGTGAATGAGGGTCTGCTCACATAGTGAAGTGTTGCTGACGTTGTGGCAGTCGAATGCAAAGTCACTGGTCATTTTAAACATTCTGCCTTGACATATTCCTGCCATACATACACTGTGTGATTTTAGCCTGCTTTTAAGTGCACACGTACACAATCACCACCACAACCAGTTCCCCAATATGACCGGAGGTAGGTTTTCCTATTATGTACATCACCGCCTGATTTTTTTTATTTTTGTTTGTTTTAGCGCATAGTGTGCCACGAGTTAGCATAGTTCCCGTAGCTCAGTTTCTTAGTGTGTCGGTTTTGTATGAATAGCGTGCCGTTTTGAATGAAACAGCTTTACTGATAGATGTCCATAGGGGCTGCACTTCACGTAACATGACAGTTGGACTGAGGGTTTCTGGACAGTGTGGGCATAAAAAACATAGGCTTTATTGGTTCACATTGGTCTTTTCAAAAGTACAGTGTGCATTACCACAGAACAAGATTTCTGAAATTGCCCAGTGTATGCCTGGCTTTAGAGGACAATCAACTACAACTCAACCAGCCAAATAAAAGACCCCAACAAGACATAAAACTTGACAGATGAATTCTTATGATGCATTGGTCATGGATGTGATTCCTGCTGTCCCTGAACTACAGAGGCAAATGAGGGCGGGATCAAAACAATGAAATGTACTTTACTTACAGCTGTATAGAAGCGAATTTATTCACTCCACCGCTACTCTATCCAAGGTAACTAATAGAGCTGATCTAGCTAATGCACGTCTTTTAAAATCAGCTACATTTTAATGTTTTAACTGTTAAGGTACATTGCACTCATACACTAACAATTACATAATTCTAAGTAGGCTATTCAGTATGCTATTGGAATTGGTATTGACATGTACGTAAAAACGTACTATGTCTGAAAAATTGTATCAGTGCATCACTAACCATATTGGTGGTGATGATTTGAGAGTTCAAGTCCTGGCAGCGCTGCAACAAAAGAACGCAGCAATTATTGGCATGTTATCTGGAATATTTTTGACCAGTGCAAGTAATACCACGAGTGCTAATACCAGCCGCTGTTAATGGCCAGCCATTGTACCAGTCAGCCCTAATTTTAAAGCTTTGACTGCAAAGGATGAATTGAAAATAACATGTTGCAATTTTAGTGTGCATGAATGCTCAATGTTACCCAGTCACCTTAATAAACGTAGAGCTTTTAAGAGACCTTTTTTTGAAAAAACAAAAAAAGTGCCCAAGTGTACACTCTTAAGAGTGCTTATAAAGCTTAATTAATTTAGCCTACAGGTCAAATGTGAATGTGACAGTTCATAAATGTAATGATTAACAAGCAGTATATCGCTTTCCATTCTGTTTAATTCAGCGTGTTAGTGTGGTAATGAGCTATATCTGGATAATTAGACGTTCAAACATAATTTGAAAGTTCACTCCCATTTTAGCCTGTTTACTTGACAGTAAGCCATACAGTGTCAAACTAATGACATCTGAGAAGCTTTATTTCTCAAGTCTCATCAATATAATATTGAAACATGTAATCATTTTTGATATGTGTACATTATGATATTGTAAGTATTTTTCCTGAAGGGAATAAGGTGTCTAACAGGGGAAAAGCTGTTTATTGAAAAAATGGATCATGGTCTCAAATTGATGTTCTCATAAAATGCTTTGAATTTGGTCCTTGTCAACACTGGTTATAATGGTGATAATCCTTTCTTACATACTCTGTGTTTAATATTATTCAGTCCTTCTTATGATTTAGATAATTGCATGCCTTGAGTCTGACCTTATTGTCTGTAATTGCTTATGATGCAGCCAACGCCACCTATGATGGTGATAAAGAGTCTGAAGGCGAAGAGGACGGCCTCAGTCCAGAGGACTCAAGGAAGGTCAGTGTTTTACTGTTTACTTCTATAATAGTTCTAGTATGTCAGTCATACACTCTTCTATAGTCTAATGTCAACTCTCGTATTTTGGAAGATGATTAAAGCATCTCGGGCTCCCGAGTGGCACAACTGTCGTTGGCCCTATCATCAGGAGATTGCGAGTTTGATCCCTGGTGATGCTCCGTAGCCGGGAGTCCAAGAGACCACAATTGGCCTCGCTCTCTGGGTGGGTAGGATGGCCCCTAGTCCCCGTTCCCTCCCCCCATCACTTAACACGGTGTTAGTCAGTGCAGGCGTCTGTTAGCTGACGTAACAGATCTGGCGGTTGGCGCTTTCCTCCGAGCGCGTTCAGCTGTCCAATGATGTTGCATGAGCGGCAGTTCGAAAAGAAGCGGTGGAGCTTCACAGGTCTCGGAGGAAGCCTGTGTTAGCCTTCACCCTCCTAGCGTTGATAGCATCGTGTGACTGGGGGAGTCCTAACTAGCGGGTGGAATTGGCGACGACTAAATTGGGTTAAAATCCCAAGTATCTTGACAAAGCATCTCAAGACATCTGACAGGCTTGTGTACTGATGTCAAACTTCACACCCTGTTCTTTAATTCAGTAGACCATTGGGGGGGGGGAAGTTGAATGTTCAGTCATATCAGGATTTTAGCAAATTATTTATGAAAATTGCTGCACTATCTGTATTATATGCTTCATGTATGAAAGAATAAACTGTTCTTGATACGTAAAATAATGAAAATAACTTTGTTCAAGGGCTTATTTTGATAATGATGTACTATTTTAAGAAATGAATAAATAAATAACTTCTCCAAAGAAATGAAAGTTGTTTTTCAAGCACCTTTTGATTAGACTTAAGTTTTTAAAATATTGTATGATCATAAACTTTTTTTTTTTTGTAACTCATTTTGACCAATTATAATTTAGTACAATGAAATGTCGTTCAGAATTGATAGTGAATTACGTTTTTATTGCCCTGAATAAAAAAATTCCAGAACGGGGAATTCCACAGTTATTTTTCACACATAAATTATACATCACTAACACTTACGATCCTTAAGAGGGGAAATCAGAATTCAAGTATGCTACTTTTCTGCAATTGCAGGAAATTATGGTTGGATCGCAATATCAAGCGGAGGTTCCCACAGGCCTCAGCTTCTACTCAGACAATGAGGAAGGTGAGTAGACTTACTTGAGTTGTAGAAAGAGAAAAGTTCTTTTGAGCGGCCTTGTTTACACTAGATTTTTAAGCCAATTAATGCGTTTTAATTTTTGGTTTGAGTTGTGCTCTGTGTTTGACTCTTGACATTTAGACATGGTGTTATGTCTGTTATTTTAAGCTATGTGCATTATTTGCGTTTTTGCAGTGTTTGAGGAGGAGGATCAGTTGCTCTGGAGTCCTGATGTGTTGTCTGAGAGGAAGGTGGAAGAATTCCTCAGAGAGGCTCTGTCTCAATCTGCAGAGGGCGGAACGGAAAACTCTACATGTGGGGGACACATACGGGACAATGAACAGGTCGGTAAAATAGTAATGCTCCTGCTTGCGTTTGCAGCTGCATAGAGATTAGTTCCAAAAACACCTGATGCAATTATTCAGAGCTTTCAGCAGCATGTAAGAATCACTTTGAAAGCAGTTTGAGTGATTTATTGACTGATATAATTTATGTCTCTTTCTAGGCTTTGTATGAGCTTGTAAAATGTAACTACAACACTGATGAAGCACTGACCCTTTACTGCAGTAATCTTAAGTCCTCAAAAGGTAGGTTTCTACACAGAGCCATGTAGAACTGTGTTTCCAAACTCATTTTTTAAGGATTCCCAGGCAGTTCACATTTTTCTCTGTCCAGCTCTCAGAATAACTGTACCAGGTATTCATTATTCTTGATTGCTTGATTCAGTTGTGTTTGGAGCTGGGATAAACCAAAAATGTGAACCTGCTGGGGGTCCCTGAGGAAGAGGTTGTGAAACACTTTGACTTCAAAGTGGATTTTGGTGTTTGGAGACTTGAGGTGAAACAATCACTCAATGTGCTTTTTATTGTAGAAGAATCACCACCATGGTCTGAAGAAGAGTGTAGAAATTTTGAACATGCACTGCAGATTTATGAAAAGAACTTCCATCTAATTCAGAAAAACAAGGTTGGTTTCACATTTGAATTGTGTCCTTTTTTTGTTTTTTTTGCTTGTTTGTTTTTTGCGCTGTTTAAATAAAAAGAGGTTATTTGCATTCTTGTTTATTTCATACACATTTTCCATATTGTAGGTTCCAACAAGGACAGTCGCAGAGTGTGTAGCCTTCTACTACATGTGGAAAAAGTCTGAACGTTTTGACTACTTTGTTCAGCAGAATCGGTTTGGGAAAAAGAAATACAGTATTTACCCTGGTGTGACGTAAGTGAATCAAGTTAGTTTAGAATTGTCCCCTCAAAAAATCCTACTACACAAGCAGAGTTGTAGCAGTTGTGTTCTTTTCCTTAGAGACCTGATGGACCGGCTGGTGGATGAGGCTGAGGGTCTGGCAGTGGACAGCTCTTCATCTGTGTGTTCAGGTGGAGCGGGAGGGAGGATGGAGGTGTCTGCAGAACAGCAACTTGGCCTCCTTAACACCATCACTGCAAGTGACCTGACAGGTAAGTGTCCTTTTGATGAAATCCCTGCGATGGCTGTGGATGTCCAGAAGAAATATCTGGAGCCAAACTTGTGTGCATCAGATTAGCTCACAACCTCTCAACTAATTAGCTAGAAAAAAGTTCTTGTTGCTCTTTGGTGTATAAATGTTTGTTTCCATCTGTTTTAAAGTTATGTGATGTTTTTACAAGCAGAAACACACTTTTTGCCTTGACAAAACTTTTGCACATTGATGTATGTTGTGATGTTTGAGCTGGTATAGATTGTATATGATTTTCTGGGGCTTAATATTTTTCTCTCTTCCTCCTCTCCAGCTCTGAGCAACAGTGTGGCGTCTGTCTGCAGTCCAGCAGATATGAGCTGTTTAGACTCCTCCTACTTCCCCCCTCTGGAGAGTTTACACCGGGGAGCGCTGGGCCATGATGACGCACTGGGCTACCCTGCAGGTGGTGATTCCGGTTGCCTCAGCGTATTGGACTCGGCCTACTACCGCTCTGACCTGGGCCAGCTGGGAGTGTGCAGCAGCAAGGACTGCGAGCGCCCCTCCAAACGCCTCAAGATGGGCCTTTCTGAGTCCTTCATCAACGATGTGGCTGTTACCAACCTGGGCGTGGACTTTGAGGGCAGACGCACGCATCGCATCACAGGAGCCAAAATGGCCGTGTCGGTCACAGACTTCGGCAGCATAGCTAGTGGAGAAGCGAACGGTTTCATCAGCTCCCACTCGCGCCACCACCAACACACCGCACTGCAGTCTGACTGACCCCAACACACACACACCCCTCCTCCCAGCCTGTACAGATATTCCCACTGACTGAACCTTAGTTTGTTTTCTAATTATGTATAAATATACTTTTTTTTTTTTCTTTTAGTTTTTGTTTTGTTTTGTTTTTTTGTTTTTGTTTTCTTTTGGTAATATGACATCAGTGATGTCTTTATTGTACAGAGCTAAGAAATCTTGATTTCTCAAGAGTTTAAATAGCCATTTATTTTTCTGGTCCTTTAGATATTTAATATCCTTATCAGCGTCAATCTACAGTTAAACCTAAATGCTGGAGTAGAGAGCTGTGGTATTTTCTCTCTTACTGTACTCATCCCTATAACAGCACCCTTTAGATTTACTGTCCTACAAAAACTGTTGTTGCCAGAAACTGCATCAGCTTTTTCTTTTTTCTTTTCTTTTTTTGTATCTTTTAATGTTTGTAAGGTTTTTTTTTAAAATTGGTACTATTTTCATTGTTTACATAAACCGAGAGACACCGGGCCTTGGCAAATGTAGCATTTTGTATATCAGGAAACTTTTTTGTCTTTTTAATTAGGGACTTTCTTGGAGTAAAGTGACACGTATTGCAATGAAGAGCACTTCCAATAGAGCTAGAATGTTTTGGCTTCCATGTTTCCTACCTTGTTTTTTGCTCTGCTCTGTGAATGCATGCGATGTATCCTGCCTGCATTTGTAGGAACCCTACGATGGCCACTGGATATTAGTGTTTTATACAAACAAATTGCGTATTTGTCTAATTTGTTGGTAGCTGTGATTGTTATAGTTGGGCTGGTTTTAAGTGTATTTAAGCTTTAAAAAAAACTCACCACTCAATGTGCAACTCACATAGCTGATAACATCAGGGTTCCTATGTGACTTGTAAACAGATCTCTCGATGAGGGTTCGAATGGGGCTGATTGCACATCCAGTATTATTCAGGTTGCTCAGACTCTTGGTGAAGGCAGTCTGAATATTGGTTACACATTTAACCCACTACCAAGGAACTAGGTTGAATAATGGCTGAGCAGTTCCCCCCCCTACTGTTGCATAGTTTGACTCTTGTTAAAGTTCTGGCCCTTTTGGAGACCATAGGCTTAGGCAAGGAGAAAATCTAAGTAGAAAAAATGTTGAAAGGTGTTGTTTTTTTGGCATGAAGTCATCACAGAAAGGTTTGTCGACAGTATTATATTGTATCCTTTAATGTATTTCAGTTGTAAATATGTTAAAAGTCAGGAGGATGTTGTGCTTTCATGGTCCCTGGAGGTTAAAAATCCAGCTTAAATACAAAGCCACTGCTTACTGTCTTGGATCAGTTTCTTGCAGTATAGATACCATTCTGGCATAACTGTTTGCTTATGCAGTTCTTGTAAACTTGTCATTTGATGCTTTGGTAATTTATGAGTAGTGTTACTTTAGCTATGCAGAATCAATAGCTGCACCAGAGGTACCGAAGATATTTGAATGTTACCTGATTTGACCTCTCTTTAAGCTCGCTGTTTTGTATAAATTGATTTTCCCCCTAGTATTCTACCTTTTTTGTATGCTGTATGCACTAAACAGATGGGACTTATGCTGCTTGAATTAGAGCTAAACTTCCCAAGAGGTTTGCATGCTCTAAGAAAACCTCTAAACTGGCATCTTTCCTGTTCTGTGCATCCAGAATACAAAATATTGTGGAATATTTTAGTAGACTTTATGCCCTGAATGCGTTCAGGACTAGGTGATGCAAAAATGTTGATGTTCCTGTTTATCATGGCAATAATGTGTAGATATGTACATAAGTTTTAATATCTTATTTCGTATATTACTTAAAACATTATGCTTTTCTGTTTGTTTGTTTTCTATTATTTTGCAGTAAAAGACAAGAGACATCTAAGCCATGCATGCCAGATGTGGCTATTTGCAAAATACCACTAAAGTCTATTTGTTTTGTAGGGTGGGGAGATGTATAGAGTTTGTGCGGCACATACTTTTGTGACATTCATTTTGGGAAGCCCCACTACACAAAACCATTCACCTCTGTTCACGTATGGAAATGCATTTCTGGTTGTAGATAATTGATTTTGTGTACATCCCATACATGTGTTTGCAGAAGCTGCTACTGGGTAATGTGAAAACTTCCCCTGACAAGTTTCTGGCTCATAGGAGACAATAGTCCAAGCGAATATGCTGCTGCTGTGTTTGTACGTCCAGAAATAGGATTGCTTAGGACATCATTCAACAGCAACAGTGTTGGTTTTGGTTTATCTTACTAATTGAGGGATCCTGTTTAGCCATTTCTGGTGTCTGAAATGCAGCCTTTCTCAGCACTTCATTATTTCTCAGTAGCGTGCTTAGAAGATCATTTACACTTAACCACAGAGTTGGTGGAGCACTACAGAACAAATATAGCATGCCTCTCCACTGAGCTCAGTACAGAAAGCCAGCTGTAAAGGTACTGGCTTTAAAAGTGTGACAGTAACAGAGACTCTGTGATGGGTTAGGATACAGTGCCTTGCTCAGTCACTGGTTTTGATACTAGATCTGAATATACTTCAGTTAGTGAGACTGTAGGTACTAACAACTTGGGGGGAAAATGGTATCTCTGGTGGTCCTGGGTACACGTGCTCTGCTGTAGTGCTAAAAGATCAGAAAATATGCCACAAACTGCATACAACCATCTCCCTCAGAGGTGCATCGAGAATCAGTTTATCGTGGTGTCTGTTATGTAGAAGTGGTATTGACCTACATAAATACACGATTCACACTTTTCTAGAGTTTGGATATTTAAAGTTGCTTGGAAGATGTTCTCAATGGTTTTGAGTGTATTTGTTTATTAAATTTTATTTAACTTAGAAACTGAAAATTATAGACTTGCCGTATCAGATTCATTCATGGGGGAGAAATACATAAGGGAAAATACATTTGTGAATAAGACCAACATATACTATAAATGTTTATTCAGAAATATAGACAATCATAACATTTAATAACTGAATTATTCAGACATATTGTTTATAATGTGTAAATACAATTGTATTGCTTTTTGTTTGGGTTTGTTAGGCATTATTTTGTATTTTTGTTGTACTTTATTACTTGATGTAAAAGATCCAGAAATAAAGCTCTGGAAACAGTTGTGAGATAGCACGAAGTATTACTGTGTTTGTGTGTGTGTGTGTGTGTGTGTGTGTGTGTGTGTGTGTGTGTGTGTGTGTGTGTGTGTGTATATATATATATATATATATATATATATATATATATATACTACATATACACGTAAAAAAAATCTCACTGTTGTCAGAAACAAAACCTCATATCTCCAAAATAAGAACTTTACAGGAGAAGGAAAAACATTTTTCTTTTAATGTAAGTCAATAGAACCAGACTTTGTCCAAGTAATTTTAGGCCACTTCTTTTGGTCCATTCATAATGAAATTTTTGAAACAATGTAAAGGCCTTTTCAAATTATGTCAAAAACTGAAAAAAACAAAAATGGAGGTACAAGGTTTTGTTCTGACAGCAGTGACACATTTTTATTTTTACCTATATTATATATATATATATTATCATATATATATATATATATATATATAATATATATATATATATATATATATAGATCTATCTATAGATATATATGATATGATATAGAGAGAGAGAGAGAGAGAGAGAGAGAGAGAGAGAGAGAGAGAGAGCCAGATAGTATTTTGTTTTGTTTTTTTTAAGTAAATCTTCCTTACATGCATGTTTTCACTTCCTCACACAGCTTCAAGCTTGATATGTTAATAAATACACATACAAGTCAAAGCTGTTAAATGTTTAATAATCCAGATGTACAGCATCCTGCAGAATCCTTCAAACTGCACAGGATGAACACAGCAGCGGCAGGAAGTTGTCGAAGTTGTTTTTCCTTTTTTTTTTTAAAAAAGGTGAAACTCAAAACGAGGAAAAGGTCCCATTAAATCAGTGTACTGCAGTGTTGATGGTGCAGCTCAGCAGAGTGGTGTATTTAATATGCTATAATACTGATTTAATCCAGACATTATGCACCACATATGTGTATTTAAGGAAAAAAGCTCAAATCAAACTCAGATGTCAAAAAGTTTGTACTGTAAACATGATACAGCACTTGAACTAATGAGCAGACTGACCCAGCACACATCATACAATTACATTTAAAAATAATCTCTATGTACATTTTAACAATAATTAAGTTTTATTCCTGTAAAGTGAACTCTGGCAAATCCTCTTGCTGAGGAAAGATGTTAGGCAACAACAAAAACCATTTCCACAGGTATTGGCTTTGGTAAGGTGTCGTGAACCATCATCACTCTGGTCCGCCACGCTGCAAACAACAAGAACATAATTATTCATTCCTGTTTTTTAAACATTATATCCACCAGTTATTTCATGATCTGTGACTATGAGTCACATTTTGCAGGCACTGAGGATCAGGACTATTTTAACCATATGCAGAATGTTCTTAGATCAGCATTTTTACTCTATGATACTTCATGCCAGTGAGTCCTAGGACAATAAAGGACAAGGCAACATTCATAACAACAACAATAGTTGAGAAGGGGAGAGCAGGCTTTGTTAGCAGAAATTTAATTCTTCTTTCAAAACCATTTGTAAGGATAACCGAACTATCAGCAAATGAAAGCTTAACATCTCAGTTTAAAACAGACACACTGAATGTCAAAGTATTTATGTTAGTTAATTCCTGATCAGACTAATGTTGTGTCTTGTGCCAACATGGGGTTGTTTCATAACATTACATAGTTTAGGTACATTATTATATAAATGTTGCCCAAAAACATTATAAAATAATGCACCTTGACCACTGTGCCAACATGCCCCAACTTTAAGTCGGTTCACATAACACAAAACAGTCATAGTACATTATATAAATATGGTCTAAAACATTATAAAAGAAGGAGGAGACAGTTCACTGATTGAAATCTGAATAGGATAGCATGTAATTCTAAGCACAGCGTTTGTATTGTCAATATGAATGGTGCTAGACCTAAAAAAAAAAAATCAAGTTATTGCTTCAAAATATATATTTGACATCACTGGTAAAATCAGACCAAATAAAAAACAAAACACAAACAAACAAAAAAAAAAAGGCATAAATAACTTTTCAGTTTGATCCTGCTACCAGGGACGCGTGTGTCTTTCACTGAAGGGCAGAACGTCTTGTCATACAATTGCCATGTTCAGCGATACGAACCCCATTCAGATCTCAACCAGAGTGTCGTCTCCTCCTCAGGTCACTATATTTATATAATAATGTTACTAGACAATAAACCAACTCCATGTCAGTGCAGGTTGGCATATTGGCACAACATGGTTTTAATCAGGAACAAACTAACTTTAGCAACTACTTTCCAACGTTTAATGTGTGACTTTAACTGATCTTAAGCTTTAATTTGCAGATGGTGGAGTAATTCCTACTGTCACTGTAAGCTTATATTGGCCAGAGTCTGCACTTTCTGTTTTCAAGCAGAACTCCCCATATTTCTGATAATCGTATAACAGTACCAGCCATTTTGTGCCAGGTATGAGACTGCGACAAGAGAGGTCACCCTTCCCTCTAAACATGGAGAACATGGTCACTCCTCTTGGACACTGATCATAAACACATGCCAATGAGATCTGATACCAAATCCCTACAGACTTTTATAGTGCAAACCCCCAAAAGCATCATATATCAGAATGACAGCAGTTTAGCTCCAGCACTAACCTGAATGTAGTCCATTTCCTCCAATGCGATTTCCCGTCTGCGGTATCTCTGTGGGAGCTCTTTAACTACAGCAATGCTGTCCGGCGTGCCTGGCAGGCGACTGACGGCTCCTGTAGGTCTAGGTGCAGGTGTGGCTGACTGTGCTGGTGCAGGTGGGGAGGACTGCGGGATGCTGACACCAAGCAATTTTAGTGCTTCTTGTACTGAAAATGAGGAAAAACAGCATGAAGTAAGTGACACATTAACCCCACTGTGGTTCTCTCAAATCTTGAGAGGCAATTTTTTCCTCTTCTCTACAAGGTGCTTGCTCTTTCCATAGCTTTTTCCAATATTTTTTTTTCCAGATTACTCTTAACTTTGCAGATTTTAAGCTTTATTATGCAGTCAAATGTTTGAGTGCCCCTGTTTAATATGTTTTGTTAATTTTCTAAGCAAATATAGGTTTGTATCTTCTACAGAGAAAACACTTCTGCACATCTTAATGCACAATTACTATTGATTTGGTGAACTGAATTATAGTGGGGGTGGGGAATGGGGGGATGCACAATTCTCAACCTGGAGAGCTGGGGTCCTACACAGTTTTCACAGGTTTCAAACCTGCCAAATTAAGATATGAGTTTAATCCGGTGTGTTTGAGCAGGAAATCACCAAACTGTGCTGGACACCAGCCCACAAGGACGAAAGTTGTGCACTCTGCTCTGCTTACTAGGCTGTGTTAACATGTTTTCACTTAGAAAATCAACAAAACATGTCATTTGACTATGAATGTATCTTTAACTGCATCATAAAAGGAAAAACATCAAAACAAAACATGCATTACAGTGTGTCAGAGGAGACTGCACTAGAGCAGAGGGAAAAAAACTTTTTTCTTTCTCTGAAGAAGTCCTAATAAAGACTCATGGTCATCTTTTTTTTTATAGTTCATATTACTCTGACCACAGAACATAAAATATTTTTTCCACAATTGGCAGTGATTGCTTTAGAATGCTTTAATTTTCCAGACTGGTGCTAAAAAAAAAAAAATCAATGTAATACAGCTCATTTAAATATTAAATATTTATTTATTGTTAATATTTGACTGGCAGCCTGTCCAGGGTGATTCCTGCCTTCCACCCAATAAGCGCTGGGATAGGCTCAAGCACTCCCGCAACCCAGAAGGATAAGCGGCCTAGATAATATATGTGGGTGTGTGTTTAATATTTATTTATATATTTAATATTTATTTATTCATCACTTCTTCTTCAAATCTGGTTATTGAATCCACATTCCAGTCCTGGACTTTGTGATCACTGGTACTTAACTAACCTCTTGATGTAACTGTTTGGCCACTTAGTGCAAGGAGTAACTGCAAAATCCAGTACTGGAAACTCTGGACACTGGATTGTGTGGGAGTCTGAAGGACGTTTTCGGATGAAATGCTGTATTCAGTTTTGGTTTGTTGTATTTCATATAAGAAAGACATTTAAGCAGTTTAAAAGCTCACCGTTTGGCCTGGGTAAGCCCTGCCGATTTGGAAATTTGATTAATGGTGCATGGGGACGCACAACCTGCGAAAACAACAAAAAGATATTACAAATAAAAATCAGACTTTATTTCTAAAATCACTTTCTCTTGAACAGTTTTACACACGACGCATTTTCTAGCCAAAAACTGTGACATATAAGGTCGTTTTGTTGCTAAACTGATTATAAATGATATATTCCTAGTAAGCTCACTGAGACGGTGCAGCTATCCTGCCAGTTTCTTAAACACAATGAAGAGCCAAAGCTGAGCAACAGTGGTGGAACATACTTGGTGCACTGACAAGGGCATCAGGCAAACCACCCAAACAAGTCTTCAAGCAGCACATATAAACATCTGTCCACATCCGGGTGAAAATGCTTCGCCGTGCAACACTCCGGATTTCAATACCGAACAGAAATATCAGCTAAATATTTAAGAAAGTATTTATTTACCTGCACGACCCGACTGGCAGCAGCCATTTTGCCACTACTGACTCTGCTTCCCATGCTGACCTCCTGACAGACCGCGTCCGGGTTAAACAGACCTGCTGGCGGCTCAGTTCCACTCTCCGCCTGAAGGTGGAGCTGTTTCCATTTTCTACATTTACCTACTGGACAAACCACAGAGTTTGTAGAGAGTTTGTAGTGAGGAGAGTTGCCACTCTGTACTGTCTTCCAGGTTTGTCAGACGCTAGAGGGCGCTGCCGAGAGAGTCCAAAATGAATGGGTTAATATGGAGCGCTTGACCCAAATCACAGTTTATTAATGCTTAAACATTTATTTTATATAGAAAAATGTTTTCATTTACTAAACACAGAACAGCATACAACATTTTAACACTGCTGTTATAGAACTTTATGATTGTGTCTCATGTACCTTCATGAGGTCAGTGAACGCAAACCACTTCAATCAATCAGTGAGCTACTCCGCTCGCCAACCAATCAGCACTCACTGTCAGTAATGCCAACCAATCAGCACTCAGTAGCAGTAATGCCAAATAATCAGCACTTAGCAGCAGTAATGCCAACCAATCAGTACTCAATAACAGTAATACCAACCAATCAGCACTCGTTAACAGTAATGCCAACCTGTCAGCACTCAGTAGCAGTAATACCTACCACTCAGCACTCACTAGCAGTAATGCTGACCAATCAGCACTCAGTAACAGTAATGCCGACCAATCAGCATTCCGTAGCAGTCATGCTGACCAGTCAGCACTCAGTAGCAGTAATGTCAACCAGTCAGCACTCAGTAGCAGTAATGCCGACCAGTCTGCACTCCGTAGCAGTAATGCCAACCAATCAGCACTCAGTAGCAGTAATGCCGACCAATCAGCACTCAGTAGCAGTAATGCCGACCAATCAGCACTCACTAGCAGTAATGCCGACCAATCAGCACTCCGTAGCAGTAATGCCGACCAATCAGCACTCAGTAGCAGTAATGCTGACCACTCAGCACTCCGTAGCAGTAATGCCGACCAATCAGCACTCAGTAGCAGTAATGCTGACCAATCAGTACTCAGTAGCAGTAATGCCGACCAGTCAGCACTCAGAAGCAGTAATGCCGACTAATCAGCACTCCGTACCAGCAATGCTGACCAATCAGCACTCCGTACCAGTAATGCTAACCAATCAGTATTCAGTAGCAGTAATGCTAACCAGTCAGCACTCAGTAGCAGTAATGCCAACCAATCAGCACTCAGTAGCAGTAATGCTAGCATACTACTGTCTAAAACCCCTTTTGCTGTAGAAAAAGAGAAACATACAGGAAAGTTTTCTTTGCTTTTTTAGTGAAATACATCATTCTACTTTCCAAAACTGAAGGAAGGTCCTGTACAACTACCTATAACTACTTTAACTTCTCGTTTTTAGCCGTTTAGCTCCTCTCACCCCCATTCATTGAGGACTCGCTTAAGGGCGCCCTCTGGTGTTTTACAGTCATGTTTCTGTTATAACGATAAGAACAGTAAGTGGCCAGTCTCCCTTTAAAACGGCTCCTGTCAATCCAGACGAGGACATTTAAGGACAGCACATATAAGAGTATCAATTCACCTGTAAATACAATGACTGTGTTTAGTAATAATCCAGAACTGCACTAGTTGTAGTGTTACACAGTGAGAGCTGGCAAAGTAAATGCTAACAGCCGACGCTGCTCACAGAAGGATACAGAAACGCACTAAGCTACAGTTATACTACCAGCTGTGGCGTTCCACCTCGAAATAATTAACGTTACGTTAACGTTAACGTACTGGTGAAGCTGGTCTTATTATGGCAGAAAATGAGGTTATCATGCAGGCATCTGTGTTACCTAACCAAGCAAATACATTAGCACTAGCTAGTTAGCACTGTGGTGCACTTGACCTGAGCAGAAATCAGAAATGACAGAAATGACAGAAATGACAGCAGCTACTTCTGTGTTCGTAAGTAAACACAAGCTGGAGACACTGTCCGCTCAGCAGATGTAAGAGAGCCTCGTCCTTACCAAAAATACAGGTATCTAGTTAAAATGTCAATCCCTCATGATATTCCGCAGAAAACATACAAACAGCCCCGACGCAGGCAGGAGTCCTTCATTACTGTAGATTTTTGACTTGATTGTACAGGGCCTCGCTCCAATAAGCGCACTTCTATTCTAAGTAGGGCGTTTAGGTAGTGCGTAGCATTCTAGCCTCTATTGCTAGTCTTTACTGAGTAGCTTTTTCAGACCTCCGAGGTGAAAAAACCGCTTGTTTCTTGTTTATACACTAAAATTACATTTACCTTCACGTTTTCCCTGAGCTTTGGGACTGTTGAATCGTGTTGTTGTATAGATTGGCTATCTAATGTATAACAGACAAAAGCAAATAAAATAGTTTAAAACAGATTTAAAATTTTGAGTTGGACGTTTGGAGTGAAAAGAATAACAACTGAAGCATAATGCAAAACAAATTTACATTTCTCTTATGAAGATGATATTAATCATAATATAGCATTGATGTTTCTTGGATGTTTAAAGCCGTCTCCCAACAACGTATATATATATATATAAAAAAAAAGAAAATTCTTGAAAGGGGTCAATAATGCGAGAAAAGTCAATGACAGCAAATAGGAAAGCAAGTTTCATTCAACTAGTATTCGCAGTAGTGTTCTAGTTAGAAACCCTGTACGCTAATAGGAACACAGCCCTCGTCGTGCGTTGTTGTCACGTGACGGAGCGTTTCCTGTCGGCGGCAGATTCGGTTGTTTGCTAAGAGGTTTGTGAGTTGATAAAACCAAACACAAAGAAACGAGAATGGAGCCGGCAGTAAGTTAGGTTATATGTCTGTGTATAACTCGTTTAGTTTGTTTTTGTGTAGCTCTGTAAACCGGTATATAAAAAGGCACGCTATGAATTTAACATGGACTTTTGTTTGTTATTCGGCCGAGCTAACGTTAAGTTGGCTAACAGTCTGATCCGGTCGACAGCGTAACGTTCAGTCATTCAGTAACCGGGCGACGGAGACTGAGCGAAGCTGAAGTCAGACTCTTCTTCGCCAACTTCTTGTTTGAATTTTCCCGTTCCATCTTAAAAGCTGCAGCAGGCGCCAGAATGTAACCGCTGCACCATTTAAGGTGGAACGGGAAAATTCAAACAAGAAGCTGGCTAGCAGGAAGCCAGCTGTAGCCTTGTAGAAATCTATCTATCTATCTGTCTAATGACGTTTTAAATGAATAAAAATAACAGTTGTTTGTTTTTTGTTGTCGTTTTTTACAGATGGATTCCCAAAATCAGCAGGGCTCATCCTCAAATAATGATCACCCACCATCATCCGTTTCTGAGGGGGTAACGCCCATTCATTTATTAAGGTGATTTAATAACATCCGCTACAGTCCGTTTAGCTATGGGTCGGGTTCCTGGAGACTAAGCCTAGTCCTAGACGTCACACAAGGCTGAAGTTGGCTTCTGATTGTATGTAACTGCTGCACAATTTAAGGTGGAACGGGAAAATTCGAACAATAAGCTGACTCGAGCTTCGTCTCAGAACCTCGATTTGGCAACATCTACTGACTGAGGCGCCAGAATGTGACTGCTGCACTATTTAAGGTGGAACGGGCAATTCCAAAAAGAAGCTAACTTCAGCTTCGTCACAGCGCTTTTCAATGGACAGAGTATAGCTAAGGGCCCGTATGCATACAACTTTGAAGAGTACGAGTGCAGGATCTGTTGTAAAATCATCATAAATAAGAGAATAATCTGATTCTTGATCAGCACTTCTACCACAAAAACCACAAAAATTCAGGTCCAGAACTTGGCCTAAAGGAAGTCCCACCATTTTTTCAAAACCTCTGCCCAGTGAAGTTAAGATGTAAACTTATTTAGAGTGGTTTGATATGAAATGCTTTGTTCTAGAGCTCATGTGTCAAACACAAGGCCCACAGGCCAGATCAGGCCCACCACACAATCCTATCCGACCCACAAAAGTATTTTAATTTCCTATTAATATTAGCCCATTTTACAGTGTGCTGCACTACAGTCCCCAGCATGCACTGCAATGTAATGTGCTCTGACACCCCTATTCCAACAACACTCTGTGGGACAGTGGTTACACCTCAGTTCTACATAATTCTGCACAATTCCACACCAGTCACATCACCAAAATGCATTTCAGCTGCAGTTCAGCCAATATAAACACTTCACATTAGCTCAGCACGTCGGAAATTGAGACCAAGTGTTAATAAACTTTCAGTAAAGAAAGGATGCCAGGTGTCTAGTTCAAGCAAATAGGTAGGTTTAAAAGAACAAGCTTCTGGGGACATTTAAATTTTGAATATTTCAAGTATTGGTGTAATATTTTAAGGTCTACTACAAGTGTCTGTATTTTACTGTTGAAGTTTTTTTTTGCATATTTTGGATAAACAACGGCCAGTTGAGGTTATAGCACATTAATTAAAAATGAAATAAAACCTTTTTTTTTTCCCCTGGAGATTTTTTAATATGGCCCTTTTACTGGTTGAGTTTGACACCCCTATTCTAGAGAGACTTAACTATTCACAATTGTTCACAGTGTGGGTGACAGAAACCAGACATCCAAAGCATTTAGTGCATCTAAAAGCTCCCTTGCAGAAAGATATTACATGAAATGGTTATGAATGCCCAAAACATTGTTTTAGAAAGGTTTTGTTATTAGAAAGAGCTAAAAGATAAATAAAATAGCTAGGTTTGTGTTGTAGACATTGCGACTCCTGGTTCCAATAACCAACACTGTGAAGTGATCTGAGTCTGCAAGTTTCTCTACAGTGAATCGTTATACATCAAACCACTCCATAAATTAAGCAGAATTTTTGAAAAATCAGTGGAACTCTCCTTTAATCCTTGCCTGGGAATTTAACCTTATAACATTCATCTAAGTAGGTACTTATGCATCACATTAACTGTATGTTAGATTTGAACTTAGCTCTACATGTTGAGGGACGATAGATGTGGCTGCATTTTTTAATGAGCAGGTGTCTGTGTTCCACTCTTTCCACAGGATGAAAGATATTATGGCAAACCAGTGTTTTGACATGAATATTAAGGTCAATATGGGTAAGTTGTCAGTCATTATTTGAAAATGTCCATAATGTTTCATTGTAACGTTTGTGGATCATGTGTCAGCTGTTTGTTAGTTCACTGATTTGCCTACAGAGTGTAAACAAAGTCCATTTCAAGGAAAGTGAAATCTGAAGAAACGTGTGAGTGTGGGTGTTAAAATGAGAACAAAATAAAGCAAATTAATGGCCACTTTATCAGCCACTGTTAATAAAGCAACTTACTAATGTAATCTTCATAAAGTTTTATATATGCAGTGGCTGTTGTCAGATACCATGTGATTAAAATCATGTATTAAGTGCATCATGTTTTCTACAGAGCACAAGTTTTGTCAGGATGTGTACTGGAATCTAAATTTCATCTTTGTGTTTCAATGGCAGGAAAACTTAAAAGATCATGTGACACGTTCGATACTGAAGCAGACCTGTGAGTCTTTTGAACTTCGGTTGGTGGAATTTATTTATTTTTCTGCGATATGGCTTGATATTGATTATCACATTCCGATGCATAGGTCCAAATATGAAAACGCAATAGAACAGGCAAGACTCTCACATTTCAACAAAACACTGGCACTGAACAGGTAACTTTTCACAGTCCTTATCTAACTGATTGTCACTGGATGACAGTGCATGTTTCAGTTTGCGTTCTCATAATAAAACTGTGTTTCAGAATGCAGGTTTGGAACGCCGTCATTGAGAACCTGATCCAGAATGATGCTGGCGATGTGTAAGTAAATATTTGTGTAACTCTAGTCTTTAGCTTGTTGTAAAGAAACATAGATGCTCCATATCTGATGTGTCCAGAGCAAGAAATCAGCTGTTGAGAATATTAAATTTGTGTATTGCTGACAGTCAGAAATGAGAAAAGATGCATTTTCTTTGCAAATTTTATGGTAAAACAGTTGCACGTAGAAATGTACAGACATTATATATAATAGTAGAAACTGCAGTATAATGCATAATAATCATCATTAAACATGTACCACTTGTGAAATATTGTCTTATAGGTCATTGAAGGCAATGGTTGATGAAAATGCAGACCTCTGTGAAAAGACAATGAAACTTATAAAGGTGGGTATTTATTTATTGAATTCTATTTTATTTGCTTGTTTGTTTGCTGAATTATGCTATGCTAATAACTCCTTTATTGGTTGCTTTAATGGTCTAGAACACCCATGATCTGAGGCCCTTACCCATTTACTGTATAAATATTACACTAATGAAATTTTGTTAATTGGGTATTGCTGTTGAACAGATTGCTGAATTAAAATGAATACATCTTTAATTACTTTTCACAACACTTTATACAGGAAACACGTGAACTTCAGGACCAAATTACAGACATTCAAAAGGAGAGACTCGGTATTTGACTTTTTCCATCCCTTCTGAGCCTCTATATTGTAAATATTACTTTACAATAACCTTCCTCCATATATGTTTTGTTGGAGAAGTAGACCACTTGACTATGAGAGCTTTTATCACATAATCAATGTAATTCTGGAGAAAGCTGAATAGAAACCAAAGAAATCAACCTTGAGAATTCTTGAGACCCTTTGATTGTATGTGTGTTCTTATACTCCCAGAGATGAAGGGGCTCATTAAGAAGAAGATGCAAGAGATTAATGAGCTGAAACAGATGAGAGAGAATCAAGGGCAGGCACAGAAACAGGCTGTGGAGCGTGCTGAAGCAATCTTGCAGAAGTACCAGAAGATCGCCACCATTTCCCAAAACGTCCTCCGGGTATGTGATGTTTGATTCTATTTACTGTGATGTGTTTGTTCTGTTGTACAGCTGCAGGATTTACAGTACAGTGAGTTCTCTGCTTTTTAATGCCTTTAAAACCGTAACACTGGAAAAATAATTATTTTAGCTGCACAACAGTGGAAGTTTGTATATATTCATGTATTCAAATTGATTGGTTGAAAATCATGTACTTTAAGATATATGCATGACATTTTCTTGTCAGTAGCCCTTTTCGCAGTTTCTTTAACTCGCTCTTCTAACAGTCTATTTAATGTCTTTGACTTGCAGTTGAGCTGTCCTCTAGCCCTTCATCAGTAGTCAGTTTCAGACCACAGGAAGGCTGTTTTAACTGAATTATTCCGAATTAGTGTAACATGAGCCATATTATAGAAACTTCTTAAGTCTGAAATCTTATCTGTTTAGGTCACCATGACAACTTCAGTTAGGACTGAATTTAGGACAGAAGCTATTACAGAACAGTTTTTAATTTCATAATTTTATCATAACTCCAGATAAGAAACGTATTACAGAAGCTTCATAACTAGACCAAATTTCCTAAATACTTTGACACCCCCAGAGGAGTTTTAACTTGTTTTAACCGTCTGTTCTCATTGTTTTATGCAGTGGCAGGCAGCATAGTTCACTATTAGCATGATGATGTTACATATATCTATATTGAAAATGGTGCTTTGACTTACGAGATTTTTTTTCCTAACAGCGTTTTACCCAGACACTACCGACACGACCTCCATCGTCCCCTCTTATTACCTTCCTATGTTAATGTTGATGAAAACTCAGATGAATTACATTGACGGTGTTGTACATTGAGGAGACAGAGCTGAACGGGTGTCTGTTTATTAGGACAAATAACGTTAGTGCGATCAGCTAGAACTACAAACTAAATCTGAAACTGGAGAGTGACGACACTGATAAACAGCACAAAGAGCGGTTACAATATCTGTTTATTGACCTGTAAGTTTTGTTTGCGCCTTTTTACATCGGTAACTGTAGCTGCCCGACTAACTTCATTATTTTGATTAACGTTACGTATTTACATTTAAGGTGTGTGGTCAGTTGCTAGGCAACAGACATGACGGTCGATTGTCGACTTCGATAAAGTGGTTTAAGATTTCCTAACTTCAGATAAGATTTGCTTTGGTAATACAAATTTGTGAAAAATCTGATCTCGACCTGTCAGATCTTAAGACAAAAAGATAGGAAGTTTCTGTAATACAGCTCCTGATGACTTTTCAACTTGGTCTTTAGACATCATCTTAATTTTAGAAATGTATGTAAATACTTTATAAAGAGTGTTTAAGGATTAGTAGGAACTATGCAGTAACTGTCTCAGTTCAAAGGTTTGTTTATATATGAAAGTGTTTTTCTTATGCATTTCCTTGTTTTTTCAGGGGATCATACTTGCCAGCAAGGTCAACTGGATAGATGACCCTAAACTGAAAGACATTGCAATGGGACTGGAAAACATCCCTAAGTGAAGAGGATCTATATATATACACACACGTTGTAAATATTGCATTTTATACTACAGTCCTAAAGCAATACATCTTCCAGAGTGAACAGGATTAGTAAAATTGTAGGTTTAAATATCAGACCGACAGTATCATGCATACCTACAGCTGATTCAGCAGTATTCTGTTCAGTGACTCCATTTCCTTACTACACAAGAGTGAGACTGGCTGAAGTGGAATGAGAGAAAAATGGATGCCATTTTGAATGGACCAATATGTATGTACAGTGAATATCAATGTAAATGTCTTAGCTTTTTGGCAAGGGAGAGGACTTGTTTTCTGTGTAGCTTATGAAGAGTAAATACACAAGTTTTATTTGTGAGTATTCTTAAATTTGAGTTTTGTAACTATTTTCATACACTGAAAGTTAAATGTGGTTACACATCTTACCATACCTGGAGTTAAAAGAAACACTTTGTTTTGCTAATCTAAAAAGTTTAAAAACTGGCTCATTAAACTGCATGATGAAAAGATGACATCAAACACTTCAAATGTTTTAAAACTAAAAAACACACCAGTTGACCACATGAACCAATTATTATACATTTTATTTTCCCACAATTTGCCTTAGTGTGAAAATGTACTTAGACATAAAATGAACATGGAGAATACAAAAAAAAGTGACGAGTAGAAAAGCGAGACAAGCATGGAGCTAAATTTTCACCACCTGTCCTGCTATGCACGGGCTCACTCTTCTCCCCTCTTCATACACTGGGTTCTGCTTGATGAGTAACCGTCCATAGGTTCCACCCACCTGTCCTTTTGTTAGACGCCCAGGATTGACACACACGCATCCAATCACATCCTGAAGATAAAATGATTCAGTTCTGTTTCAGATTTGGAAGTTCCCAACAAATAAGCTCATATTAAATAAAGCTAAGTTTGCAAGTTTCCTGTTAACTTATTGTACTACATCAGTCATACCAGGACATGGACTCCAGCTTGCGTTCACACCTAACCGCTTCCCCTTTAATTACTTCAGAATTCATAACACTACAGCCAAATGTTAAGCTGCATTACCTTGATAAAATAGCGCATTTCAGAAGGTATGATCAGAACGTCAGGAGTGAGGGGCAGCAGGCCGTACTGCTGAAATCTTTCATAATCCATGTTGACCTCCTCTGCAGGGGGGTAGAGAGGGTAATAGCTGCAAAGAAAGCAAACTTGAGTATAAAGCAAATCCTTAGGACAAATGCTGTGCTACTGATTCTTTAACACCAACCTCCGCTGGGTTAACATGTGCTTCATGATCCGTGAGAATCTGTCTGAGCCGGTAGCACTGCAACAACACGGCGACATTAAAAACCCATACAAAACTTTGGTATGTATGCAGGAATCACATACCACTCAAGATAAAAATGAGGTTTGCATATTTAGTGCAAAGTATGAGTATGCGATAAAACTCCAATGTTAACACAGTTGTCTTCATAAACTTAAATTCCTTTCCAATACTTTGCAGTTTCAACTGGATTGATAAAATGTGTATGAAGCTTACATTTTTTTTAAGTACTGGTCTACAATCAGTTAACTGAGTCCATAGACTCATTGGGGTGAAAATAATCCTTATAATCTTACCTGCTGATTTCTTCAGCTCCCATGTGAAACAGGAGGTCTGTAGACGTCAATCCCAAAGTCACACCACCAATGAGGAGTGTGCAAGGATCAGGGGCCAAGGTCACTCGCTAGGGTGCAAAAACATACATTGAATGATTACGGAATATGAAGAAATTCAGCCTTGCTAAATAGTATCAAACCACCTAAATGCCCCCCCCCTTAGACAGACATTGGGTCTCATTCACCATCAATTTTTAAGAGGAAATATCATCTCAAAACCCACTTGTTTTCATGAAGACTGTCATTTATTCTTATGTAAGCACTCAAGAGCACAAAGGTGTGAACAATTTTACTGTTTATGAACACATCATGAATCTGATGTAGACTTTTTCTTAGGACCTTTCTCAAGAACAAATTTAAGAAAAAACTTAAGATATTGGTGAATGAGGCCCAATATTATAGAGATTATGAATTATGAACACAGTGACCAAGTAAGGTTCTGACTGAGCCTCTATTCTGCAGTTTTAATGCAACCAAAGACAAAAAGACAGCTCACCTGCACATCATCCTTCTTGAGGTCTGGGAGTGTGAAAGGAGGCTGTGGGTAAATGTAATGGTGATGTACATCTCGTTGAGACGGAATGAACACCAGCTTGCATCCCGTCCTGAGAAGAAAAATAGGTTGAGAGGTAACAAAGAATGGTCAGGTTCAGAAGACGTTCAATACTCTGTGCAAGTTTAAGCTTTAGATGGACAAATTCAAGATGATGAATACATACCCTCTGGTTCCATCCACAATGCTGTCCATACATCTGGAGAAGATGGTTTCAAATGTTTCTGTTACCTGTCCTTTCTGTCAAAGAGTAAATACATAAGGCACTTTGTTGGTGTGAAAGAACTCTTATTGTCTGAAATGTTTTAGATAAAAAGGAAAGTTAAAAGTACCTCAATTTGCTCATGCTTGGAATCGACAAATGGTCCAAGCTATGCAACACATGAAATAACACAAGACATAAAATCAGCCAACTGTCATTTTGAGACATACACCCACTCACACAGGTCAACAGGTCATGCAAACATGTCTATAAACAAACACTGTAGAAACAAGGCCTCAACAGACTCAACAGTGAGTGTCCATCACTCTCACCAGTATGCAGACATCAGGGCGGTCTTTATTAATAATGTTAATCAGGTCAATCAGAGGATCATAGGCCAGGCTATCAGATGGAGTATATGGCCCACAGGCCACCATCACCATCACAGGCTCCGAGGCTGCAACAGACAAGAGAAAGAATAATAAATGAACAAATAAATACATAAAATTAAACCACAAGTATCGCTGAAATGGTAACTTTACAGAAGGCAAAAGCCTTCTTTACTTTTACATCAATGAAACAAACTCGTTTTTTGGACAGCAACGATATATAAATGATTCTATTATTAAGCTACTACTCTCCAACTTTACATTTCTTTAAATTTCTCATATTAATGTTGTGAATTAGACCATAATAAAATCACCACCCAGAAGGCCTTGTATTTGAGAAATGGTGGGCAAATCTCCAGGCATAATAATGCACTGTAACGTAAATAGTTACAGTATATTATTTAATAACTTTGACATTTCCAAAAATAAAAAAAACATTATTTATTAAATAAGCTAGGTGGTATTATTTAAAGTTTAATTATTAACAAAGCCAGTGATTCCAAACTTTTGAACTGTACATTGAACAGTAAATTTAAAATGCAGGGTAACTAAGCTTTGAATTATATGTTTCATAAACATGTCTGCATTCTGCTCTCTAACTGGTCTGTCCACAAAAATAGCTGGTTTCTTACCTTCGTTCATTTCCTGTGTTGACTCTGGAGTGGAGTAAAAAGGTAAAGGAACACCCTGAAGGGGACACACACTATGGGTCAAGAAGTATTTGCTAAAAATATAATTTTAAAAGTGAAATTCACTGCTTTTAATGCATTGTTTTAATAGAACAATGAGCACATACTTTAATGAGGCATATCAATGTGTATTTTATTCAAACTAGTATAAAATCAATTAAATGAACTGTTCAATTGAAAATGATCAAGAATTTAAGACAACCAGGATTCTGAAGTCGATACGCACACATACCTCATAGAGTTTGGAGGCAACAAACCTCGAACCAGAGGTGTTGATGCCTTCCATGACAACAACCTGAAAAGACAAATCATCTAGTTAGTGTACACAAACTCAAAGGACATTGAAATATGCAAAAAAAAAAAACATTTGGCAAAATTACGAGGAATGCATCAATACAGATAGTGGTATTGGGCCAATACCATGGTCATTTACTCGTACGCAAAAATTCACTGATACCAACATTCCGATACCCACTGATACCATGTGGTGCAAGTCGAGTGTACACGACTGTGGTAATGAACAAACGACTCAAGCCGACAGTGAAGGAGGCTCTGCTCACACAGAGAAGTGTTACTGACTCTGAGGAGGTCGGACGCACAACCAGTGGGTCACTTTAAACATTCCGCCATGGAAGATCCTCACCAGGAATACACTTCGTGATTTAGCCGGTTAATAAAGAATCACCACCGCTTCCCCAACATAGACGGAGACATGTAGACTAACAAACGGGAGCAGGAAAATCAAAACAACACACCATACCTTAGAATGAACAGAGCATTTTCTTACAGCGTGAGTATATAAATCAGGCTTTGTCTGTACATGATGGTCTATTGAAACCTTAAGTGAGATCTCACCAAAGAGGCTTTAGAGGACATTCAACTACAGCTTAACCAGCCAAACAAAGACTTCTGACATAAAACTTCACAAGTGAGCTCCTCTGATGCGTTAGCCTCAGACGGTCATCCCTGTTGTCACTGCTACAGAGACTTATGTTGAAAGACACAGATGAGGAGCATCAAAACTACGCAGGGGTGCAGAAGCTCTTGTGGAATAAAACCCACTCTTCTCCACTGCAGTGCTACTCAATCCAAAGTAACTAATGTAGCATAGCTAGCTGATGTACATCATTTAAAAAACAGCGAGATTTTGAGGCTTTGACAGTAGTTTGTTATGGTATCGGACTCGGATTCGGTATTGGTGCGTACTAAAAAACATACTCATACTCTGTCTGGGGAAAAGTATCAATGCATCCTTATTTCACACAAACTTATCTGACTGGCCTGGGCTCCCTGCCCAAGTATACACACCTGTCCAGGAAAAAGTGAATAATCTTTGAGCTCAGACAGATCCACAGGCACTTGTCTTGCTCCGTGCTCCTGGCTCGCCTCCAGCAGCACAGACTGAGCATTCAGCTTCCCATTACTGTCACAGCACACTTGTCCCAACACTGTTACTGTGTCCTGCAGGGGGCACAACACACAACTGAACTTCCCAGGGTCATCTCAACATAACTACAGTGTCCTGCAAGAGGCACAAAGCTGGGTCAAGCAGATCAGGGTAGGCATAAACTGACCTTACACCAAAAAAAAAATAAATAAATACTTCTAGGGATGTAAAATCTTGAATCAAAATCAAAAATTGGCCTTCAACTAAGAGGCAGGATCATGTTTTTGATTTTTGTTTTTTCCTTCCAATTTGTTTTGCCAGATGAAATACTGTAACTAAAATGTCAGCCAAAATAAAACAACCAAAAGCACCAACAACTGAAATTTTTAAGTAAAAACGGATGGACAGTAGCCTACATTACTTGACTGGTGTTTTCTACAATGTGTGGTGAATGTTATTGAATGATTTCTATCAACAAGCTAAGTAAATAGAAAAAATACATTTTGGGAAATTATCTTCAGGAAAGTTTTTGTGTGTACCTGAACAGGTAGTGAAGCTGGAGAAAACTCCTCTATATTGAAATGCGTCCTCAGCTCCTCCCCCAGCCCTTCAATCTTTTCTGTCAAAACTGAAAACATTCACAGGTGTAAAAGATCCAGTCAATATTCACAACACTGAGCATTTGTCAAACACCATCTGGGGAAATCTCACAGGTAATGAAAACAAAACACTCAAGATTCCTATTCTTTTCCTTAAAAATAATAAACAGTCTATTTTAGGTCTTCCATGTCTTATCATTCTTTTTAACTGTATCTATTTCTCTTTTATTCTTGCATCCTCAAAATTGTCCCCTTTGCCCTGCATATAAAGCATTTTGAGCTTCACCTCAGTGTATGAAAGGTGCCCAAAAAATAGTTATTATTACCATGGCCACATGTCTGATACCACCTACTGCAGAAGACGTACCATCTCGCACATCTCTGAGCCTCTGGAACATGTATTTGTAGGAGCCGGTGAGCGAGTCCTCTCGGCCCTCAAGCAGATCCACCTGGACCGCCATTTGGCCTTTCCCAGACCAGCGAGGACCCTGCACAGCCCCAAACGTGGCCACCACCTCACCCCGTGCCCCACGCATGCTGTACTTCTGAGAGGGGGTCGGACTGCACAATTACAAATACGAAAAGTATTTAGCAAAACCTATAATAGGGCTGGACTTTTCTTAAACTGTTTTTGCTACGTGAATATTCAAATCTGAATATCACAAAGAGAAAACAGATTACTTGGAGATGCACCACTTTACATTGTACAAATTTGTTATGTTTTTGTTTAAAAAGGTGAGAATAATATAGCTCTACTTAGGTGTGACAACTTCACTTAATGTGAGATGAAACATTTGTGTCCTGACATTTTCATCAGTTATGTTTCACCTTTAGTCAAAAATCTTACAAAACATATAATATATACACAGGATTTTTTTTTTATTCCAAATCATGCATGCCCTATTCAAATACCTACATACAAATACTAAGATATGGTCAGACAGCCACATTGGAATAACAAAGCCATGCCATGCCATGTAAAGCATGTTCATAGAAGACTTTTAGCCTGATTGAAGCAAATTTGCTGCTTTACACATTATAGTTATGGAGGAAAGACAACTGACACTGCTAACAATCAATATGATGTAATACTGCCAGATAGTTCAATGCTTGGATTTGCATAAGGAAGCAAATCATCAATCAATCAATCAATCAATCAATCAATAAGTAAATAAATACACAAACAAACAAACAAACAATCACTGCCTGGAAAATAGAACATGCATACTGTGTGTGAATGTAGTCTTATTTACCATGGGGAAAAGCTGGCAGGGGAGAGCAGCAAACCTGGACTGGGTAAGCGGGCAGCAGCGCGCTTTGACTGAGGGTGTTCCGGGGTGGTGAGAGCACGTTTCTGAGAGCCCTACCAGACACAACAATGATCATATTAGAGGAAAGTGACATTGCTTTAATATACACGAGCTTAGAATCACGACAACCCAGAAACAGCAACTAAAAAAGACTACACAATCTTTGCACGCTCTCTAAAATATTTTAATAACATGTACCACCTTGGCTGGGGTTGAATATGAATCCAGTAAATTTTCTTCCTCCTCCTCGGCTTTAATTCTGTTTAAACTGGGTCAAGAAACACAATATATGGAGACATTTTCTGTAGCAATTACACCAGGAAATAAAACACACTGGTTGCAGCCTTTCACATTTATCATAAAACTAAACTGAATCCCTGCAATATTAAACTTTGTGAAACTGGGCACTGTGCTTAAAAAGTACAAGGATACAGTTCTTGGATGGAGTGAACATCTCTGGTGTTGTTAAACTTACTACTCTTTGAAGAGCCTTTGTTCTTATGTTTCTTATTCAAAACCTGCAAAACAATGATAAAAAAATATATATAAAATTAAAAAATAGAGACGTGCATTAATCAACCAACACATTTAACAAATCAAAGATTTCTTCACAGGTTTCCTCAGCTAAAGTTCTAGTGCAGCATTATGATCTACCACAGGGGTTCCCAACCTTTTCCACTTCCAAGGCCCACCTACTCATCACTTTAAAGCATGAAGGCCCACAGGAAAGCAAAACTCAATGTCGGGTGGCAGGGGGCATATTGTTTCTAAAAGCAAATAATTCCTGAAGCTGCCATTGTGCGCCACACAGGACGTACTAATTATTTTTCACTCTGTGAAAACATTTCTTCTATACTGTCAGTTATTTTTTCACTGGTTTTAAAGGACCACCCCCACACACTTTTTTGACTACTAAAAGGTGCTTTGCAGCCCACAGCCCAGTCCCAGTAGGTTAGAAACCCTGGCTACAATGTGTGCATGTATAAAAAATGTGCATATACAGTCACTGACCACTAAAACAGGGTAAACTAGAGCTAACAAATTATGCAGAAAAACAGGTGGATTATAATCTGTTACTGTAGAATTAAAGTGCACCTGATAAAACAAACAATGAGTGTGGACAGTAGATGTACCTAAGAAAGTGCCTAGCGAGTGTATACAGACTACACAGACTTCAGAACAAGCCACTCAACTCAGTGTACTCACCTCATGCTCAAATGTCTCCAGATTGTTGACAGTGAGCTTTAGCAGGCCTTTAGTTGTGCTGAAAGCAACCCACTCGTTTACAATGTCCTCCCCCTTAATTCTGTGACATAAACACTGCTCCAACACTGAGAGACAAGGGGAGAGGGACGTAAATAAACTAAAAAAAGCTGAACCCACAAACACTGACACAGTTAAAGCCACCTTACACTCCTTAACTGTGACCAGCGCATAACAACACAGAGCAGGTTGAACGTGTATGAGATTACATGCACAAAACACAGTACAATTATAAAAACAAAAATGAAAAAAGAGGGGTTAAAATAATTTACATTTTAAAAACTTCTTTTAAAAATGTAGGGGAAAGAGCATACAGTGCTTTAGTGTTGGGTTCAATCAGAGGTACTACTATATTTTATTTAAATACTAGTTATAAATAACCATCTCGCTCTCCTCCATACTTACTCTTGTCGAGCACCGCATCATCGTCACAGCTTATGTCAAAAGTCTGCAGCTCGATTTTTATCGTCTCGCCGGTAACGCCCGCCATCTCGCCTCGCCTCGCCAACTCTTCACTTCGAGAAATTACTGGCCAAGTGCGCGAATCTGTAACTAAAGCAGTGTCCAGTGTCGCTGACCGAGTTCAGACATTGTTTTGCGTACTGACCATGACACGCACAGAAAACGAGGCTGAAGTTGGCTTCCTATTCGTCAGCTTCTTGTTCGTGTTTTCCCGTTCCACCTTAAATGGTGAAGCAGTTACATTCTGACGCTCTCTAACTGCTGCACCATTTAAGGTGGAACGGGAAAATACGAACAAGAAGCTGACTTTAGCCTTGACACAGAACCTTAACTGACCGACTAGCCGAGTGGCTAGTTAGCTATGATAATGCTAACAAACAGCAGCACGAATCTACAGCACCTTACAGTATCTGACTGACTTACTGGCTGAGAAGGAAGCTACAAACGTGGAGTGAAATAATCCCTAAAAACCCAACGCAGTTACCTGGTGTCCGTATTAAGGCTGTGTGTTGTCAGTCATCGCTGTGGTCGAGTTCAGTTTGCCGCGAAAAACTCGCCCGCAAAAACAACGGCGAAACGTCACATCCTGTCCGTGTTCATTCCCTCCAGTCCGACAGGAGGCACCGAGCACGGACTTCACTACTAAACTCCAAACCTGCCTGAGCGAACACACGTGTCGAGAACACACGGCTGGTGTCTGTGCTAAACCCTGTGTTTTGATCGAACTCTTTATCAAAATGCCTAAAGTAAGAGCTGAAAAGAAATCCCGACAGCACCAGGAGGTGAAAAGTCAAGGTAGGAGCCCCTGGTCGTCGTTCTTGTTGGGCTGGTTTGCTGATTTACGTCACGGTCAGCCTGTTAGTAGCTTTAATTGCGTCCTGATTGAAGCTGCTTGAGCTGCTCTCAGTGTTATCGCTGGTTGTATTTTCGTCACTGACATTTGGTGTTAAAGTTGTTGTCTTGTCACATCTGTGATTTGCCCGGATTATGCTCATCCAGTATTTCCATAACTGATTAACGATAATGAATACATAGCTTTACTGAATCTCACGTTTCAGGGATTATGTTCAACACTGGCATTGGACAGCACATCTTGAAAAACCCTTTGGTGGTCAACGGCATTATTGAGAAGGTAGGTCCATACGGAGTCTTTTTCTTCCACGTAAATACACCGATCAGCCATAACATTAAAATCACCTCCTTGTTTTTACACTCTTTGTCCATTTTACCAGCTCCACTTACTACAAACTGCATTCCATCTGATTCTTTGCAAACTTTATTAGTCCCCCTTCACTCTGTTCTTCAGTGGTCAGGACCCCACAGGACCACCACAGAGCAGGTACTATTTGGGTGGTGGATCATTCTCAGCACTGCAGTAACACTGATGTGGTGTTGGTGTGTTAGTGTGTGTTGTGCTGGTCTGAGTGGATCAGACACAGCAGTGCTGCTGGAGTTTTTAAACACCTCAGTGCCGCTGCTGGACTGAGAATAGTCCACTAACCAAAAATATCCAGCCAACAGCGTCCTATGGGCAGCGTCCTTTGACCACTGGTGAAGGACTAAAGGGTTGCTAACACAAACTGTTCAGCAACAGATGAGCTACTGTCTCTGATTTTACGTCTACAATGTGGAGTAACAAGGTAGGAGTGTCTAATAGAGTGGACAGTGAGTTAGCAGTTTTTAAAAACTACAGCAGCACTGCTGTGTCTGATAACACTTGTACCAGTGCAACACATACTAACACGCCACCACCACGTCAGTGTAACTGCAGTGCTGAGAATGACCCACCACCCAAATAATACCTGTTTTTAAGTGGTCCTGACAATTGATGAACAGGTTAAAAGGGGGCTTCAGACTCACAGAAATGTCAGTGTCATTGCTGTACTGAGAATGATCCACCACCCAGATGATGGCTGCTCACTGGGGGGGGGGATTATTGAACAGGGTGAAGAAAGGCTCACAAATTACGCACAGAAACAGATGGACTACAATCCGTAACAGTAGAACTACAAACTGCACCTGTATGCTTAGTAGACCTGATAATGTACAAAGAGTGTAGATGCAAAGTAGGTGTGCTTCATAAATTTGTCAGTGAATGTTGGTACCTTATAAAAAACCCAGTTTACTTGCTGTCTTTTTTAAGCATAGCTGGTCCAGTGTAAACATGATTCATATTTTCTATATCTTTCATATTTCTGTTGCTAAATCACTTGTATCTCCTCATCTTTGTTCGTTGCATTTGCATACTGGATGGTTTATTTAAAATAATCATACAGTGTATGAATAAACTACTGCTTGTGCCTTGTTTTCTTGGAAGTGATTGATTTTTGTATTCCCAGGCAGCATTAAGACCAACAGATGTGGTCCTGGAAGTGGGACCTGGAACTGGTAACATGACAGTGAAGCTTCTGGAGAAGGCCAAGAAAGTAAGCATGCTTTGATAAAGTGTTTCCATATGTGTCTGTGAATGAATATAAAACCCAGAGTTTCCTTTCTGTAATTTGAAGGTAGTAGCTTGTGAGTTGGACACCAGGCTTGTAGCTGAACTTCAGAAAAGAGTGCAGTGCACGTAAGCATCCTTGAGTTTTATTGTCATTCTTTTTTTAAATGTGATAAATCAGACTTCACAGCCTCCTGTACACAGTTTGACTTCAGCATAAACTAACTTTTACAGACCCATGCAGACAAAGCTTCAGATCTTAGTTGGTGATGTTCTGAAGACAGAACTACCATTCTTTGATGTCTGTGTAGCAAATTTACCCTATCAGGTAAAAATCCTTAATTTTATTTATTGTAAATGACGTTTTCTTCCATCTTTTATGCCAAACTTGGAGCTGCAACATTATTTATTTTACAGATATCTTCACCCTTTGTCTTCAAACTGCTTCTTCACAGACCTTTCTTCAGGTATGAAGTTGGATGTTTTCTGACCATGTGCACATAGACATGTTTTATTATTATTATTATTATTATTATTATTAGTAGTAGTAGTAGTAGTAGTAGAAGTAGTAGTAGAAGTAGTAGTAGTAGTATCAATCTACTGTTTTCTTATCAGCACCAGTTCTAGCCGCTTCTGTTTTGATAATGCTGGTGATTATCTTTGTGAAAGATGCGCAGTGCTGATGTTCCAGAGAGAGTTTGCTATGCGGCTGGTGGCAAAGCCTGGGGACAAGCTCTACTGCAGATTGTCCATCAACACACAGCTGCTGGCCAGGGTGGACCACCTCATGAAGGTCAGGCAACTTCCCTACTTTTACTAATCTGTCTCCACACAGCCACATTAGCCACAGAAAACCGATCATCAGGAACTCTGGGCAGATTATTTGTAATACGTAATGTTTCAAGTAAAGTGTTAAGCACAAGTACTTCTGCCTTTAGATGTGTGAACATGCCTGATTGTTGTTGGATTGCAATTTGCATACCAATCAGAAATTACAGTATTGAAAACTTTGATAGGAGAGTACAGACCTCTCATTATAATCAGGAAAGTCCCATATTACTACAGAAATTAGCCAAAATCATTGAATGGACTTTAGCAAGTACTCCTGTTGCATATCACTACATTCACTTCCAAAATGAGAGAGCTTTTTTAATTACCGAGAGTCTAAACCAATTACCTGTTTTATTTTTAATGTGCCTGGAGATTTAGTCACTAAATATGTGGTGTGTATATATCTTTATCTAATACATGATGTGTATATATTTTGCACAGCAGCTTGGGTTTGGAACTGTGTAGCGTTCAAGTTTAAATAAAGAGCTGTGTTATTTCAGGTGGGGAAAAACAACTTCAGGCCTCCTCCTAAAGTGGAGTCCAGCGTGGTCAGGATAGAGCCAAAGAATCCTCCACCACCTGTCAATTTTCAGGTTTGTATGCATAGTTTTATACATGCTGAATGGGCATGATCACAAGGGCACTGTGTATTTAGAGCCTATATCAGGGAAAAACAAAATTTTCTTGCTTATTTTTTGAACGGAAGACTTCAGTGTAATTTGTAAGTGTTAGTAAAGTCCATATGGTCCCTGTATAGAAACTAAACTGCAAAAACAATTTGCTTTTTCATAGCATATATATAGGGCTGGGCGATAAAACGATAACGATAAGTATCGCGATATAACTTTTCCTCGATAGAGCGATAAGACAGGTTCGATAAATGTTCGATATAATACACCATTCTCACACTTCCACGTTTTAGCGAAAGCCCTGGTGGCGTTTTCTACTGCAAGGAAAGCGACACTACTCGCCAGCAGAGGGCGCACTTCCAAATTTTTCGACTTGATTAGAGAGGGAGGGGGCCATGAGTAAAAAAGGGTTTCCAAATATACTTTAGCAACGGCTGAAACGCGGAGTTATACAGTCCCTGTTTGAGTGGAGCGACCGGCGATCTGTTCTCCTGTGACCGAGTGTGAGTGACGAGGTCAGTGGTGTAACTGTACTGTCCTACAGTGAACTCACCTCTTTCCATGCATCCTAACAACTTTAGCGGTGTTAAATCACGTCTGCAGCGGTGTTACAGCGCCAAACCATCATATTTTAGTATTAGTGCATTCTCGAGCAACGAAAGTGAAAGAAAGAAGTGGGTAAACGGAGGAAGCTGTGAGGCATTGGAGAGCGGGAGAGCGCTATCTTTCCAGGCTAGCTGTTTTTAGCTGCTGGCTAACTTGAAGCGGCGCTCCGGCACAACCCAGTGAATTGATGATACGGTAGATCAAACAAGACACAAAATCACCGCTTTCAGTTTAAACATACCTAAAAGGAGGACTCTGTTTGTCTGGTGTGAGAGATTCACACTGCAGATAATGCTTTTACACAGCGAACGTCAGATATACTGCGGTTCACCCCTTAAACTACTACGGTAGCATAGAGAAACCCAGCCGTCGCTAGCTGGTGTCTGAATACTGTGATCTGCTCTGACATGGATGTGGTAGGAGTGACAGCAGTGACCTACCGAACCGAGTCGACGTTGTTGAGAAACTAATGAGTTTAGCTCTGTTGTTGGCCACTTGTTTAGCATTTGTAACGGGGTAGCCGAGCGCTCGTCACCAGACAGCTAAAAATAATCTGTTTTCTTTCTTAAATCATGACTATTACAAAAATTGCAGCGGTGCTTTTCCAGCTGATAAAAACAGCTCAGAAACTTTCTACCACTCTTCCATGACAGATTAGTGAAATGTTCCACTGTTTGCTGAGTGTTTGTCATGATCGGACCATTAGTGATAGTTTAAAACCACAATTAACCACCCAGGAGCAAAATCAGCCTTCAAACGTGAAAGAAATCATGATTTGACATTTATCGTGATATGTATCGATATCGGACGATATGAATTTTGTTTATCGTGATAATGTTTTTGGCCATATCGCCCAGCTCTATATATATATATATATATATATATATATATATATACATACATACATACATACATACATACATCATCTAAACCGCTTATCCTTCTGGGTCGCGGTGGGGTGCTGGAGCCTATCCCAGCTGTCATTAGGCGGAAGGCAGGATACACCCTGGACAGGTTGCCAGTCCATCGCAGGGCAGACAGACATACACATTCACACACACACTCACACCTAGGGGCAATTTTAGCACGTCCAATCGGCCTGATTGCATGTCTTTGGACTGTGGGAGGAAACCCACGCAGACACGGGGAGAACATGCAAACTCCACACAGAAATGACCCTGGTCACCCGGCCGGGAATCGAACCCAGGCCATTCTTGCTGTGAGGCGACTGCGCCACCGTGCCGCCTATATATATATATATATATATATAATTTTGAACCTATAGCGGTTTAGCTCCACCCATTCACTCTGAAGTTATAAGAAGTGTTTCAGCCTGTACTGTTTTTGAATAAGCCAATCAGAACAGAGCTCACAGTAACATAAACAGTCTGGTTCATTTTTAGGGAGAAAGAGAGGTTGAAAAAGGCCATGTAAAAATGGACTTCAAAGAAAAAAACTATACAAGAAAAATGTATGATACAGTCCCTTTAATATTTGATGTACAATATAATGGATCATATGTATTATTTGTTTAAAAAATTAATTTTTATCTTTATCTGTAGGAATGGGATGGCCTTGTCAGAATTGCATTTGTAAGAAAGAACAAAACGCTCAGTGCGGCCTTCAAGTAAGTACTTTATTTATTTATTTGTAATATGTGTCAGTTGTACCTAAGGACAACCTCAAACAGTATCAGCAATGTCTTATAGCATATGTATGTGTTAAAGGTCTGCTGCTGTTGAGCAACTTTTGGAGAAAAACTACAAAATTCACTGCTCTGTGCACAATATAGTAAGTAAACCTTGGAACAAAGGCCCGTGTTTTCCGCAGTCATATTCTTTATGGTTGTCTATCTAAAGCTCATCAATTAATATTCACTTAATCCAATATATTTCTTAATTTTGGCTTCCTTGTTATCATGTGAACTTGCTCATTATGACTCATGCACATTTTTATTCATATACTGTGTCATATTAATAGGAAATACCACAGGACTTCAGCGTTGCTCAAAAGATTGAAACTGTTCTTCAAGAATCAGAGTTTAGTGAAAAGCGAGCACGATCCATGGATATAGATGATTTCATGGTGTAAGTAAATTTATTTTGTATGTTCATTTTATTTTTGCATTTCTCTAAATATTTGTCAGTGTGTTTAGTTCAGCTTAGGTTTATGCTGTTCCTTTTTTATTCCATAGACTTCTTCATGCTTTCAACTCTGCCGGGATCCACTTTTCATAAACCCAATGGAAGAAGCACAAATACAGTGTGTTTGGACTTACGTTGAACTCTGCTTGGTGTTCCTCACCTTTGTGCCTCTTTGTGTGATGGCATGCATCTAATGGACAAGCGGCAGGACTGTCACTTGGCCTTCAATGCTTTGGTGACTTTCTGTGAATCTAAAGGATTTCACATGAAGAGCCATCTTGAGGAAAGAACTTTGTGTGTGGATACTTCTTAAACGAACATAAAGCCTAATAGGAACGCACCAGAAACGTGCATGGTGGATAAATATTCTATAAAGGACTTTACTGTAGTACTGATTCAGTACTAAGAAATTCTCAGTATCTGTCTTTTTAAGTACTGAAAGACTTATGTATACAATGTACTGATTTAAAATACCATATTGACAATATAGAGAATTAATTTGATGTTTCAGTTTACTGTGATCTTTGTACTTCATTGGTTATGTAAATCTTGACGTAAATATGGATTTTGCCCAGTTATTTTCCTACTGACAGCAGTCACCTGTCTGATTCCCCTTTATCATATGGGGCCAGGGGTCAGGATATCAGGGACTGCCTAAGGAAATGCACACTTTTGCCGAGACAAAGGAAGCCCCCCACATCTTTTCAAATCAATGTTCACACAACATTTCACAGTGGGTAACTGCACAGCTCTGTGTATGTGAGCTGGCAGATGCCCCCAACTGACTGATCATAAGGTAGACCTCATAAGGTAGAACTCTGTTGATCTACAAATCGATTGAATTTCATCATCTTTTAAGGGGAATTCCACCAATTTTTCTAAATGTCTGTTCAATTCAACCATCGAGATGTACTCAATCTTTCAGCATGGTTTGATGCGAAATGATGCATTGTAGAGAAACTTAACTCTGATTTCTTTATAATGGAGGTGAATGGAACCATTTACTATCCAAAACCACTGCCTCTGCCATGAATGGATTATTAAAACTATGTTTTAGGCCGAAAGGTTAAGTCCAAACTATGTTTCAGCTGGAAACATTTCTAACTATTCTGTGCCATTTTTGTGAGCTATCTTTCAGAGACATTAAATGCTTCGGACACACGGTTCCTGTCACCACTGCAGTAAACAACTGGGACTGTTTACATCTTATTTAATAATGCAGAAATTCTGAAAATTCTTAATTCCCCTTTAAGGATATATCAGTTCTTTAAATGCACTTGGAGCAATCAAAGAAAGAGGAGCGTTTCAGAGTGAGGAAACAGTACATGATGTAACTCCGGGGTACAATTTCTCTGCCTTCCACCCTCTGTGGATGGTACTGTGAAAGACTGATTAAAGTTAATTACATTGTTGATGTAGCTTAATATTAAACATACCCTTAGGAAAGCTCAGTTGATTGGGTCTCAGTGTTCAATATCTGCAGATCAGTTAAACCAAGTGACAGGTGTTAAAAGTGAGAGCGGAGTAAAAAACATTTCAATTAACAAATATATTTGGCGTTAATTCCTCTATTTTCACAGCTTATCCCTGCTTGCATGTCTTCCTCATGTGCTCAAAGAGAGGAGCTAAGGTATAAGGAAAAGAAACAAGGAGGGAAAAGATAGGAGATGCACCTGCCAATATGATGCAACCCTCTTAGCCCCTTTGTACCATGTGAACCCATTACACTTGTGTCCCCACAACTCTCCTTGGCTACTAACACATCCAGCAATAAGGCTTGTCTGTTAACACTGTATGAGTTTATTTTTCCCTACCTGAATACAACCCAAAAAAATCCAGATTATGCAAATCCCATTAGGACTGAATAGCATGGGTTATCTATTAAAACACTGAAACACAGAGCAGCCCTTGTATCTCCTTCCAACTGCCTGGCACTTCAAAGGTTACCTTATACCTCTAGTGACTGACTACATCAAGCCTGGTTCATCACAGTCTCTCTGTCTCTACATTTCCTTACTTTGGCCCTACAAAGCAAGAAAGCACACAGATTCAGCACCAACTGACAGAATAAACTTCCCAAAAATCACATCAGATTTGTCAAATCAATGTTTATTTAGCCACCATTGACTTTGGTGCTAACAGTGAAAACATCAGCTGTAGGTGAGTGGTTTGACCTAAATAACTGTTAACAGCATCTTGTCCTAATGTTTTTTGTTTTTTTTTTTTCTTTTTACAAATGTTGCTACTAGGTGTTGCAAAATTTTGGAAGTATTAAATGTAGAAAGCAAAGAGAGGAATGCTTTGTGCAACAGTTAGTCTGCCAGAAACCAGAAAACATGGTATGACACAAATGAAAGCAATCTACAGCTGGTCAAACAGAATTAACACATCAGCAAAGAAAATTAAAACAACAAAAAAAAATGAAATAAAAAAAAAAAAACACCTCTCACATGCAAGCCTATCAATGTTGACTCCTGCTCTACTCCTGCTCTACTCCTACCCCAGCATAGCAGCAACCTCCTTAAAAACACTTGTCAGAAATAAAACGGTGGGACTGAAACGACCATAACAAACGAAATAATGAACCCTCCAATGGGAGACAAAGGAATAATACAACTTGTGTCTATGCAGTGCTGACGGAGGTTCAATTACAACCTCCGCAGAAACAACATACTGTAAAGTGCAGCTGGGCCTGGTCTATCATGCTTATAACAGAATGGTGAACAGGGTACTGAATGCACATGCATAGAATTTAGAACAACTTCAAATGATGGAAGTGGTAAGAACCCTAAAAGAACGGACCATGTAGTCAACAGCCACTTACCTAAAATTAAAAAAATAAATAAATACGAACAAATTAAAAAAGAAAACAAAAAAAAAAACACATTTCCCAAGTTTACCAGAGTCTCACTTCATCAAGACCTCCAAGACAAAAATTAATTCACTTTCCTTAATCCTTTCCTGATGTGTAAGTGTTCGTACAGCTGTTTAGCCAATCTTCAAGGGCTGTTTATTGGAAATACAAACCAGATGATTCATTTGTAAATACATGAATGCAACTAATTGCAGACTTGAAGATCAGCAGTCAACTTAAAGCAGTCCCGTACGCGGGTGCAACCAATGTTTTGAAGATTGAGCAAAATAAAGAGAAATCCATTTTCTGAACAATTCTTCTGAACACTAGGTCATCTAGCACAGACTCTCCTTGCTGTCATATTTGTTTTGTTTTTTTTTGTGGAAACTGCTTCATTGTTAAGCACTAAGTGTCTAGCAGTCATGCTTGTGCCCATGACCTCAGTCCCAGCCTACAAAGCACGAGGTCTTTTGGGACTGATCTGCTTACTGGCTTGCTCCTCTTCCTGCAGGGCAGAGCGGAACGACCTCACTTTATCTGTACAATGAAGGCAGAAACACATACACAAAATCCTGCTATTAGTAATGAGCAACACAAAAAAGGGTCATTTGTTTTTTGATTAACAGCTATACAAAAATATGCAGCCAATGAAAACGTGTTTAAATTAAACGTGTAAACTTTTAACTTGGATATTATGGAAAGCTGAATACTGAACAAAGTGGAGAAAGTAGGTTACCTCTGAGCTCAATCAGGATATCAATCTTTTGATCAAGAATCTGCTCAAGCTGGGAAGAGTAGGAGTCTACGTCATAATCCACTTCCTCGGTCATCTTCAGCAAAACCTTCTCATCCTCCAGCCACCTAATCGACTCCTGTACACAAAAAACGGCAAGTTTAAGTATCAAAAGTACTGATTATCTAATTTATTTTGTCAAGGATTTCTTCTTTGATATGCCCAGGTCAGCAACACATCTATCATGTGATGTATCGCACTGTGTGGCTGTTTTATTAGGTTTATCTCTAATTTCCTTAGTAACACAATGACAGTGTAATGGGACACTAATTGTTCATGTGGACATAAACATTATCTGACTTTATCTGGCTCCGATGTGGGCTTCAGTGCAAACATCCACTTGTTTACTACTGATACTGTATCGCTAAAACCAATAAAGTGACACAGAAAACTGGACAATTTGCAATCTTGTAACCATCCTGTACACACAATTTCAATTAGGCTTAAAAATTGATATGAAAAATGTAACCTAGAGCAGTGTTTCTCAAACCTGGTCTTTGAGGTCCTCTGCCCTGGCACGTTTTAGTGTTTTACCTGCTCCCAACACACCTGATCCAACTAATCAGCTCATTAACAGCCCAATATTGAGTTAAATTGGCTGTGTTAAAGCAGAACACTAAAAATGTGCAAGACAGTGGGCCTCCAGGACCAAGGTTAAAAGACACTGACCCAGAAGTTCCAAGTCTCTGGGACGTGAGTCCAAGTTGAGTCTTGGATAGAGTTTAGTATTGCATTGTACCAAAGTAAACTACTAAAAACCCATCAAGTCTGACAAAGTTTCAAATAACAAGCCTGTCATCAAAACCTTCAGGCTGTCGAAACTGAATCACTACATACAGTAAAAGTGGTGTTTAAAAAGGTAGTACATAATAAGGATAGCAACTTGTTAGCTAGTGCAACAGCTAATTTACCTTCAGTTGTTAGCTAATCTATTTGATGTTTTACTAAGTTACAAATCATATTTCTCTCAAAATTACCAAAACTTTAGCTGAATTAGGTTTTATGTAAGCTAGCTAGCATACTAGCTACACAAACTACAGCTAACCAGATGTTCTGATGTTAAAATTGTTTTTTTAGCTAAAATTGTTTTAGTTAGCTAGAAGGTGTTTTGCCTCTCTTTAAACACCGCATTTACTGATACTTGAGACATTTTCACAATACATGACATGTATCACAATATTTTCACACAAACATAATGCACTAGTAGAGCCTCTGGGTACAAAGATTTTTTATTCAACCTTTAAAATACTACTACACTGCACTATATCCAATTAAATAGGACTAAATATTTTCAATGAAACATTCAGTTGGTCAGTGTTCTTTAAGTACCAACAATATCCACTATATGCCCAGAAAAGTTTATCACTATAACAAAATGCATTACGATAACAATAAAATATGATATTGCCCAATGACAAATATGATATTGCTCTACTGTAGCACTTTATTCCATCAATTAGACTAAAGATTTTATTAAAGACAACATGAGACTCAAGTCTGGGTTGTTGACTCAAAGTCCCCATCTCTGATGCACAGTGCAAATGTCACTGACCTCAAACACTGCCCTGTGGTACTCCAGGACCTGCTCTTCCATTTCCACCAGTTGGGATACCGCCTCATGGAAGGTAAAGAGCTGAGGGGACACTTCCTCTTCCTGCAAAACACAACAGCCATTCCAATAATACAGGGTCAACATTAAATCAGTAATGTATAGCATTTTAAACACTATCTTTAGACAGGATACATCAAAACACTAAAAGATCTATCTTTAGGTCAGACTTTTATAACCCTCAACTTACAAATTATGACAGCTGTGCTGAAAATATGAGAATAACCTAATATTTCACCACATTCTTAGATGCT